TACTTAAACTAAATTTTTTACAACTGTAAAAATCTAATTATCGAGCAAATTATATTAAAATAGAAGAGTTTAGTAAAACTAATAATCTCTTAGTAAAAAATTAATAAACACACTCACTATATTTATTATTTTGAATTTAATTTTTTTATAAAATAGATTGTAATAATAAAAGTAATAATATTGATCAAATTTAAGATTAAAATATTAAATCATTTAAAAAAAAATGTTCTATTAGTGTAGAACATAAAAGCCCAACAAGAAATAGTTAATTAAAGTTTACTTAAGGAAAAAAATAAAGTAGACATGATTGCAATTAAAATAAAGAAATTATTAACAATTTATATAAATAATTGAATCAAAATAATAAAAGGATTCTTATTCTTAGATCTCCGTAATAAAAAGATAATGAATCAAAAATTATGCTAAATATAAAAAATAAAAATAGTCTATAAAATTTAATCCTTAAAAATAATTAAAAGGAATAAGGAAAGATTTTAATTAAATCCAAAGATGATTTACATTCCATAAAATTTGAAAAAAGACTTTCAGAAAACACGAATAATATTAAAAAAAATTCATAAGAAAAACATACTTTAATTAACGAAAAAATCATAATAAATGATAAAGAAGAGTATAAAACTCATAAAAAGAAAAACAAATCAGAACCTAATATGAATAAGTTTATTTAAAATGATAATTTTTAAATAAAATTACATAAAATTTAATCAGATGTATATAATAAAAATTAAAATATAAGCAAAACTAAAAATGATTAACTAAAAAATTAAACTAAATAAAATAAATAAGCCATATCTATAGAATTGAAAGATGTTAATAACAAGAAATAGAAAAATTATAATAATACATAAAATAATGATATATAAATAAATTTAGAAATGCATTAAATTAAAAAAAGCCCTTTAATAAGTAGTGTAAGAGATATAGCTAATAATCGATTTAATAATTTTTTTATTGATAAAAATTTTAAAAATATTAATTCAAATTAAAATTAAAAAAACGAATAAGAATTCGACTTTGAATTTGATAAAATATGTGAAGAAAATGATGTAAATATAAGTATACTTGATATTAAACATTTTTATTACTATTTGAATTAAAAAAATTAATAACTAAATAATATTAACAGAAAATATTTAGCAAAAAAAATTAATTATTAAGTAAAAAGAAAATCTTAAGAGTTAATTTTAAATAAATTTAATAATTTTAAAGATTATTATTAACATAAATAATTAAAACATTAATTCTTTGATTAATAAAACTATAAAAAGCTAATTATACCTTAAATAAATAACAAACCATTTATATAATATTAAAAATAATTATAAAATAATATGTAAAGTATTTAATAAGATTATTATATAGATAAATATTAAAATTAATTTAAAGCTGAATTATATCAAAATTAATATTTATTTTATATGGTTTAATAAACAGAAAAATATAAACAAATCTAAATAAATAATGGGTATAGAGTTCATAGAATAGAAAATTTAAATCATAATATATTTGGTTATTCGAATCAAGATAAAATTTTAAATAATTTTAAAATTATAGATTATTTAAAAAATAAATAAAATTTCATTAAAAACTAATAAATTTTAGATATAAAAGCTTACAATATTATTAAAAATAATTACTTTTATACATAATAAAATGAATAAAACAAATTGTATGATTTTTAAAATGATATTATATTAGATAATAATTTTAGTTTTTAAAAGTTTAATTTTAATTTGATAAAATTATAAAATTAGGAAATAATTAAGAGTTATGAAAATTAAAGCAAATAATTATTAAAAAATAAAGAGAATAATTAGAAATAAAATGAAGAATAAGAAAATAAAGATAATTTTTAATATTTTATATAATAATAAAAGAAATAAAATTATTTATTATTATTCAATATAAATAAATCAAAAGAATTTGAATTTTATATTAATTTTTGAAAAACATATAAATTCTTTGAGAATTAAAATTACATTATTTAAATTAGTGATATTACTTCTAAAAAACAAATATTTTGTTTTAATATTTTTGTAAATTACTTTTTAAAATTTGTTTAAAAAAAATTGTTTTTATATAATAATAATAAAAAATATATATTACCAAACAATAATTTGAATAATATGAATAATATAATAAATTATTTTTAAAAATCATAATATTTTATATATTAAAATGTTGAAACTTTTTATATCATATAAAATATAATTAATATTTATATATCTTATTGTTTTTTTTCGTTTAAAGATTTTTAATCATATACAATTGAGAAGCTATTATAGTTCATGAGTACTAGAAGAATTATTGAACTTTTTACAAACTTTTGCTCTTAATAAATATTACCTTTATTTTTATTAAATATATATACGAATATCTTAATTAATTAAAAGATATTTTTTTACTCTATTTATTAAATTATAAGAGAATATTATTCCTTATTTAAGACTTAGAATATATTTAAAATTTTTTATCCATTAGTAACCTATAATAAATAAAATAATAAAAAAAATATTTATAATAAAATAAAAAAAGAATGCTTTATATTCAAGTTAGAATTCATTATTGCCATTTTTAATAAAGTCAGTAATATCTTAAGCAACTAAAATTTAAATATCTTAATCAGATTCAATATGAATCAAATATTAATCAAATAAATTCTTTCTTAAAATAAGTTAACAAGTTTATTATTATTTATCATTTTATTTAATCAACTAGAATGTAATAAAATTATCTTCTTTTTCCTCAATAAGACTTTATATAATATACTATTGTTCATTAATTTTTTCTTATAATTCTTAATTAGTATTCTTTAATTTTTAATAATTATCTTTAGTTTATTTCACTAATTCAATTTATTCAAAATAATCTCTTTTTAATTTCATATAATTCTTTTATAAAAAAGTGTTTTATTTCTTTAATTTCTGTAAGTTGTTTTCTTTTTATTATTAAACTTATAATAATGATTTATTTATTTTAATTGGTTAGTATTTTTTAATTTGTTTTATTTCTTTATTTAATCTAGCTATTGTTTTATTTAATTTTTTATCTTCTTATTTTTCACTTAAATTAAATTACTATTATTGCTATATTAAACATTATTTATTATCATTGTTAGTATTATTTGTCGATGCACTATTTGCATTTGCATTAAAATTATTATTTAATTAGTCATAAAGTATGGGCGATTATTTTTCCTAATAAGCAATTTAATTATCAGAATTAATTAATTACTTTTCAGCATAACAAAACTTTGCAAATCCTGATGCTAGCATTTTAGAAACCCCTTCAATATTTTATAATAAAGCATTTGAGCTTTTTAATTCTTTACTTCTATAATTTTCATTTAAAGAATTGTTTGTATTATTATTAAAATTCTAATTAGGGTTTATATTATTTTACACAGACTTAATTGGACTTATTTCTATCGAATTTATAAATTTTAGTTACTTTTTTAATAAAACAGTTTTTTAAATATATTAAAATAGAAACCATTAAATATTTTTAAAAATAAATAAATTAAGGTTTACATTTAAAGGAGTTTTAAGCTAATTTTTTTTTTCATTTTAAACTTAATATTATTGTTAGAATTAAAGAATTAAATCATTTTACTTTAAAATTAAATCAAATTATTTTTTAAGTTCTTATTTTTCATTTCTATCTTTTATCATTTCTAACTATAATGCTGATAACTTTCTTTTCATTTAAATTATAAGTTAATCTTTATCTAATAAAATAACAAAATATAATAGTTTATTTAAAAAAAATATTATTAACCTTGTAAAAGTTAAATATCATTCATTTTTTTTATTACAGAAAAAAAAAAAATATAGCGTTTAAAAAAAAAAAAAACTAATAAAATTAAAATAAAGAAAAAATAAAATAATATATATAATAATATGTAAAATTAAAATTCCAATTAGAAATATAATTAAAAAAATCTATTATTATGTAAAAATTAAAATAATAAATAATTCAAATATTCATTTTATTATTATGGCGATAACTGATATATATATATATATATATACATTACATGTTATTTTGTTTTTAATTTATATAATTGTCTTTTTTACTTTTTGTAATTTTAAATTTATAGAGTATAACATATATATTATATTTACATTTTTAAATTTTTATTTATTTTTTTAATTAAAATATTAATGAAATATTTATGATTTAGTTAGAATTTAAAATTTTATTAATTTCTAAATAAAAAATAAACAATTAAATTTCTTTAAAAAAAATTAAAAAATATATTTATTTAATAATCATTTTAATAAAAAAAAAATATTTATTTTTAAAAATTCTAATAATTTATTAATAAAATCAAATGTTATTTTAAATTTTAATTTTTAGTTTACTAAAATTTTATTGTTAATTTTTTTTAAATTATATAATTTTTTATAGAAATAACACCCAATGAAAAAAAATTTTAACTATTAATATTTTTTTTTCATCTAAATTTTTAAGTCATTTTAATTTTTTATTAAAATGCTTAATTATTATAAAATTAAAATTATAATTAATTTAATATTTAATTAATTTTCCTCTTCATATTAGTAATAAAAAAAAAATTAACTATAGTTATTTAATTGAAAATAATAAGTTTATATTTTTTTTATATTATAAATATATTTTTATTTATAACTTATTTTTTTTAATATGAAAATATTTTAATTAAATTAGTTTAAAATTTAATTTTTATAATATAAAAAAGTAAAATATTATTATATATATATTAAAAAAATATAATAAAACAAAATTTTAAAAATATATTAAATTTATATATGCCCACTTTTCTTATTTAATTTAATTTAAAATTATCTTTCTAGAAGATTTTAAATTTTTTTTTTTGGTTTTTTTTTAAAAAAATAATAAAAAAATAATTTATATTTAATAATTATCTCTAAATCTTATTAAAAAAAATATACATATATTTAAATAAAAAAAAGAAGGTAAACAAAAAAAACTAAATAATGGCCGAAGCTTTCAAAAAATATTAATCTTTCGATTTCTCAAAGTGTAATGAATGGTAAACATATTATACAAACCTATTTCCAATTCCTCCAACTAATAAAGTAGATAGATTCAAACGTAAATGGTATAAAAACAATATAGATTAATCTTTTGACATTGATTACAAAGAATAAGAAACTAAACAATAATAATAATATGAAGAACCTCCAAAACCATAACCTTACAAAAACAATTCTCTTTACACTCTTGAGAACTTATTAAAAATAGCTGTATTTCCATGTTCAGTATTAGCTGAGCCATACATCGTAAAAATATGTATTGTAATATCTTCAGTATTAGCAGTAATAAGAAACAAAGGTATGATAAAATTCTCTAAAGAATATTTAGCTTTAGTAATCACTTCTGAGTTTTTCCATAATATAATATTCACAATAAGTATTCCTCATGGTAGAAATTCATTTGTTTTTTATTTACCAATTTATATCCATTTTTTGAGTGGATTATGTGGATTTATATAAGCATATCCTAGCTTCCCCATTATTTAGAATTAGCCTTAATTTAAATAATTTATCAGTTATATTATAGCAAATAGAGCTCATCTTATTTTGGCAAAAATGAAAGTCGAGATTTTCCTATTTTTTTATACTATATTTGGCGTATTTTTTGGGCTTTCTAGCTTTATTAATGTATTCCTTATGTTCTAGTTCATTTCAATGAAAAGTAAAATTAGCTAATAAATGTAAGTAGCCTAATATGAATTTAAGAATATTATTAGAAGTATAACTCCTGGACCTCTTAAGGTAGTTGTCGAGAAGTTAATTATGGGTTATGAAAAACTTTTAAATTTACTTACACCTTCTTAATGATTTTTTTTTTTTTAATTTTATATATAAATATTTTATATATTTAATTGTATGAACTATTTAATGAGATTTAATTAGGATATTTTTGTATTTTTTTTTTATATATAAAAAGAATATTTAAAATGATATTTTAATTTAATACAATACTAATTCTTTTTTTTTTTTTTTTTTTGTATTATTACCATTAAAAATATTTTGATTTATTTTAAAGGATAATTATATTTATTTTGTAAAAATATTAATTTTAATATTAGATTTTAATTTTAATTTAAATATAAATTTAGCATTAAAATTTTAAAAGAAATTATTAATTTTATTAAATACTTGAAATTAAAAGTTGATTTTGATAAATCATTTAACTATCTTTTTTTTATTTTATTCATTATTAAACAATATGTTTCTTACTTAAATTCATTAAAAATATGTATTCAATCCGAGATAGTATAGTGGTTAGTATTCCTGCCTGTCACGTAGTAGACCTGGGTTCAATTCCCGGTCTCGGAATTTATTATTTTTTTTTTAAAAAAAATAAAATAAAATATTTTACTTTAATAATTATTTCTTTTATAAAAATTTGAAAAAAATAAAATAAAAAATCTAAATATATTTGAATAATAAAAATACTAAAATAATACATATCATATTTACATTTTGAAAAAAATAAAAATATTATTGTAGCAATCATAATTATCATAAAAATAAAATTCAAAAAAAACAAAATAATGGACATAAGTTAAAAAGTTAAATGGGCTTTTCAAAAAGTAATCGTATTCCAGGTGGGGGTTACGAGGAGGCTGTTATTATTGAGCAAGAAAAATCAAATTGCCGTAAATAACTAAAGGATATAAAAGACGAAAACATAAAGCGATAAAGTTTTCATAAATCGATTCATTAATAAAGATAATCATTACTTGAAACTCGTAAAACGACAAGTTTTTAAACCGTATTAGGAATAGTAAATACTATGGTAGGTAGTGTAGCCCTTGTTTTACCTCCAAATATGACTAATGGAGGTATAATAATGAGTTTTATTGTAATGACAATTATAGGTTATGTTTCTTATAAAACATGCACTTTTATAGTTATATATAAAAATCCATATGAGAATGACTTTTCGGAAGTATTAGAACGTATATTAGGTAAAAAATGGTCCAAATTATTTTCTATTTCAAGTTGTTTATTATTATTTTTGACAGGAATAATTTATTTTTTATTAATGAATAGTGTACTTTATCCTATTTTAAAATATATAATGATAAAATGCAATAATAATAATTTTGCGAATGTAAACGAAATTTCATTTTCAAAAATTTCTATTTAATATCAAAGTATGATTTTAATAATCCCTTGTTTTATTGTTTTCTCTCAAAAAAATTTAACTATAATTATGAAGCTTTCCAAAATTGGGGCATTTGCAATTTTTAGTTATGGAATTTTTATTTTTTATATTTTTATTGATAATATTGTATCAGGAAAATTATAAGAAAACTTTCACAAATTGCCTCTTTTTACATCCGATATTGCAGGGGTAACCGGCTCTTTTGCTTTAGCGTATTTCTTACACAATATCATATGTTAAATAATGACTAATAATCTCAATTAAGAGAAAAATATGAGAGATTTAAAAGCTGGTTATAGCCTAGTTTATATAATATATACTTTTATAGGTGTTTTTGGATGTATTGGGGTATTTGGAAGAGGCGAAGAACTAGGAACTAAAGTCACAATTTCCTCTTATTTTAAAGATGATGATATTAGACCTAGATTTGTTGAATTATTATTTTTAGTTTAACTTTTTACCGCAACTCCAATCCTTAATTTTGTTTCTAGAGCTTAATTTTTTAATATTTTTTAGAATGAATATGAAGATATTTCTACTAGAAATTTTTATATTTTTAATGTTGTTTTTTCACTTTCTTGTGTAGGATTTTAAATTTTAAATATTAATCCTTCTATTGTTATTGGATTAAATGGAGCAGTTTGTGGCTTCTTAATTGTCTATATAATTCCTTTGGCAATTAGAATTAAAAAATCTAAAAAAAAAAATAGTAATACAGAAACATATAATGAAGATTCTTTATTAATAGAAACCGAAGTTAAATAATAATAATAATAATAAAATTCTAATTAATTATTGAGTAATAAAATTAATTTTATTGAAAAGTTCTTGTGGATTGGAGCTATTTGTATTGGATTGAGTATCCTTATATTTTAATTTATAAATATTGCTAAAAAAATAAAAGGATGAAATATAATATAATAGTTTTTTTAATATTTTTAAGATATATATTATGTAACTTTATTTTTATGTTTTTATTGACTAATTTTTTAATTATTTCTATATAATTTTAGGTATATTTAATATCTTAAAAAATACTTTTAAAGATATTTAATTACGTTAAAATATTATAAAAATTTTAAATTTAAAATATAAAAATAAATTAAAATTAAAAAAAAAATATATATAAATATATATTTATAATTTTAATTTATATATTATGATATAATTATGAAAATTTTGTATATTAATATATATATATATTATATTAAATTTATATTTTATTTAAACTAATTTTTTTATTTTTTTAATATTTATAATCAACGAAAAAGCTGATATTATATAAAATTAAATGTATTTATAATTAATAAAAAAACAATTGTCAATTAAATAATCAATTAAATATTAAAAATACAATTAAAGACACACAATAATGTATAAATTTAAAACTTTAAAATGGAATTTAAATAAATAAATAAAAAAATTAATAATATATAAATATAAAAAACTATATAAAGATAATAATTATATTAGAAAATTATATATTAATAAAAAACTAAAATAAAAACTACTTATGTTTACTTCTTAAGAAATTAATTAAGATAAGCAAAACTATATAGAAACTAGTCCAAAAATTTATCAAAAACATCAATATAAGTAAGATGAGATAATTGCATTAAACAATTAATACATATTAGTAAATAAATAAAATTTAAAAATAGCTATTAAAGGAGATATAGAAAATAAATAATAAGATGAAGAAGAAGAATTATATTAGTAAGCATCTTATGAATAATATAATTAAATTTCAGATTATGACATATAATTCGCTCTAGATAACTATAATTCTGAAGAAGAAAATTTAAGAAAATAATCTAAGACCTTCCAAATTGAATATAAAATAGATTTTAAATTAGATAAAAAAATCATTAACGCAATTAATTAGAGAAACGAAAAAAGAAATCAAGAATAAAATTAAGATTAATTCTATTAATATATGTTTTTCCCTAACTAACAAATAATAAATAATAAAAACATTTACAATCAATAAGAAATGATGCAATAGATAATGATTGATTAATAATTTTAACTTTAAATGATTTATCTTGTATAATAAGAAGGTTATGGATTTCCGATCAAAAACTAATAGGATTAATAATAATATATGTGCAATTATTAAATTTAAAGATAAGAAGATTTTGGATAATAGTAAAAATAAAATAATATGAATAAGTAGTTTAAAAAAAAAAAAAAATTTAATAATAAAAGTTAGAAGGATAAAAACTATTTTAACGATTATGAAATTAAACATAATAAAAACTTAAGTAAATAAAAGGAAAAAGTAAATAATACTAATATAGAGAAATGTAATAATATAAAACAGATCAATCAAGGAAGTAATAATAAAAATAGTAGCACTAAATGTAATACTAGTAGTAGTAATAGTGGTAGTAATAATAATAGCAAAAATAATAGTAATAAAAAGAATTATTAATATAATAAAAAAAAATATATGAATAATAAAATAATTATAATTAATAATTAGGATATATGACATGAATAAAGATAGTTTTACTATTTGTTAAAATTATTATTATTTTTAATTATATAATAAAAATAAATTATTTATAATGTATTTTTTAATATATAAAAATAATATTATATATATATATATATATATATATATATTTTTTAATATATTTATATATAATAATTATAAAAAAATTAATCTTTCTTTTTCTAATAAATAAAATAGTTAAATTTATATTATAATTAGTTTTTTATTTAATTTTATAATATTTTATATTTTAGTAAAATATTTCTTATATTATTTATTATTTATAAAAAAAAAATATTTTTATAAATTAAAATTATTAATATTTTTAATTTATAAATTTGAATTAATTTAAATTTATATTCTTTTATAAAATATTATTTAATTAATTAGAGAATATTATTATTTTTTTTCTTTATAAAATTTACTTTAAAAAATAATAATTTTATAATAATAATATATATTATAAATCTTTAAATAATTATACTTTATAAATTTGAAATTTGATAATTTTTTTTTTTTTTTAAATAAATAAATTTTTAGTAAAAAAAATAATAAACATATTAAGTAATAATTATATGTAATGAATTATTTATTTTTTTCAATTTTATCTTAATTAATTTTTAATTATTATTTTCAGCTTAAATTTTTTTAATATTTATAAAGAACATTTTAAGTATAAGAATAATACATTTTTTATAAAAATTAATATATTATAAATATACATTATTTTTAATAATATTATCAATTTATTTTAATTAATATTTTTAGTTTTAAAAAATATAATAAACATAATTATTATAATTTTAATAAAAGACATTATATTGAATTTCTAATATATAAAATATAATTTAAAATATAGAATAATAGATTTTATAATTTATATGTATAACAATATATATTTTTTATACGTACAATTGATATATATATTTTAACTTTAATATATTTTATTAATTAAAATAAAATAAAATAGTATTTATCATTTTTATATAATTTTATTAATTTTATTAATATATATTACTACATATATTAAAAATAATAAATTATATTTATAAAAAAATGTTTAAATAATTTGGCTAATTATGGAAATTATTCATTAGACCTCCTAGATAAAACTATTCCACAATTGACTTAGGTACATATATATTAAAATAACTTTTCATATTTAGAAATTATCATAAACTTTAAAAAATTATTATTATTTTTATAAATAAAAAAATAAGGTTCTCCAGAAAATCAATATGGATAATTTAAAATGAAGAGAACAGACTCTTATATAATTAATAAAAAAAAATAAAAAATACAATATTCGTTATATGAACCTTTAGGTATATAGAAAAAATATTCCTGTGTAATATATTGTCATTGTAATAGCGGATCAAGGTTGGAATCAACTTAAATTGTTCCACATTTAATTAAAAGAGGTTTAGCTTTATTAACTTTTGATTTTACTGGAAGTGGATTATCGGATGGGGAATATGTTACTTTAGGTAAATATGAAAGTGAGGATTTGGAATGTATTATAAATTATGTAAAAACTATTGAGAAAATTAAAAATATTGCTTTATGGGGTAGAAGGTAATTTATTAATTACAAATAAGAAAATAATAATTAAAAAATATTAATTATAAATCAATAATAATTTTCAATATTTATATTTTGAAAAGCAATTATATTTTTTATTTATATATAATAATTTTATAATTTTAATTTTTATATTCATATTTATTTTTATCTTTATATATATTTTTATTTATTTTTTTAATTAAAAATATATATAATTTAGTATGGGCGCTGTCACTAATTTCTTATACTTAAGTAAACCGAACTCAATGAAAAAAATAAAAGGTGTTATATTTGACAGTGGATTTGCGAATTTAAATACTCTAGCATTAGATATTGCCAAAGAAAAAACTTCAGTTCCCAATATTTTAATAAACGCTATATTATCATTAATAGGTGACTAAATTATATAAAGATGTAATCTTGATATTAAGACATTAGACATTACATAAATTATATACAATATATATATTCCATGTTATTTTATATGTTCTAAAGAGGATACATTTATACAATGCAAGCATACAGAAGAACTATATTAAAAATATAATGGACAAAAGTTTATTGAATATATAAAAGGAAACCATAATATTTAAAGGGAAGATAATTTATTAGACAAAATAAGTGAATGGCTGAAAAATAAACTTTCAGAAAACGATTAAAAAAATTTTAATGAAAATTAAAACTTAAATCCAATTATTAATTATACTCACAAAAAGGATAAAATTTAAGAAAAAATAAACATTAGTGTTTAAAAGGAAGCTAATGTTTAATTTAATAATTCTTTTATTTAATAATAACAAGAAATTATATATAAAAATATTGCCTAAGAAAATAAAAAAATTAAAATATTAAAAAATGTCAATAAAGACTAAAATGAAAAATAAAAAATTAATATGCTTTTAAATTCATATAAAATAACATAAAAGTAATAAGTAAATAATTATAAAGATTTAATTAATAATAATATAAATTATCTAAATTTAAATAACAATAATAATAAATCTAAATAAAAAAACTATTTTTAATTTTCTAATGACTAAACATAATAAGACTTAGATAATTAAAATTAGTAAAATTATTTAAAATTAATATCTAACGATAAAACTTCATAAAATTATATTTAAAATGATTTGAAATGTTAATAATAATAATATCATTAAAAAAACTAAATATATGCAAAATATTAATAGTTCAAATTATCTAATAAGTTATAAACTAGTTGCTATGATTTGAATAGTTAATAAAATAAATATAATTCTTTGAACTAGATAAACTAAGATTATAACATAGGCTAATCTATACAAAATTATGATAGTTTAAAAAATTTTAATATGATTAAAACTGAAAGGAATTCATGTTAAAATACTAATTAGATAAATATTAATATGTGGAAAAACGATTATTATAATACTAGTAATAATATTATTTTATAAAAATAAAAAATATTTTAAAATGAAAATCTTTATTAAATATAAAAATTAGATTCATATAAAGTAAAAATGTAAAATTATTAATAATGAAATCATATTAAATATATACTATTTAATTTATATATTTATGTTATAAAAATTATTATGTTTATAAAATTTTATCAATTATATTTTTTTATACATATAAATTTTCAATTATTAAATATAATATATAATTACTGTATATTATATTATATTTATATTAAAAAAACTCATTCAGTTTTTAATTATAATATAGTAATATATTTCTACAAAAATCTATAATTATTAGTTTTTATAAAATAAAATATAACAAAAATTGTGGTTTATATTTATTTATTAAATTAAAAAAAGAAACATATATTAAAATATAAAAGTAAATATAATTATTAAATAAGTCTATAAACAAACTTAAAACATATAAAATATAAAAATGAAAAATAATAAATAAAACCAAACATAAAGTACAAATATAAACAGTTAAAATACAACATAAATAACGTTTTTAAGTAAAAATTTATAAGAAACATTATCTTCAATAAAAATCAATGAAAAAAAAAATTCAAATGAAGAATAAATCATGCAAAAATAAATATCATAAGCAGAATTATTAAAACTACAAAAAGTATTTGAATTATTAATAAGAGGAACAATATATAATAATAATTCATAAAATAATAACCATAATATATAAAATAATATCAGTTAAATATAAAGTGATAAACTAATGTATAGTTCAAATGAATCAAAAACACCAAAATACATATAAAAGAAAGTAGAACAAAACAAAGATTACTTTAATACTAAGGATGTAGCAAATATATTATAAGAATTAAATTATCCTGCTACTAAAGCTGAAGTAGAATAAATGATATGGCAAGTAGACGAAAATTTAGATGGAAAAATATGTTCTAAAGAATTTAAATTAATGTATTATAGATGTAGGTATGATGCTACAGGTTTAGAGTCTAGAAACTTATATAACTTAGTTTAATTTTAATGTATTTAATAAATTCAAGCGATATTGATAATAATTAATAATAGATGACCATAAAAAATGATAAAAAAGTAAAAAAAACTATATGTATTGAAGACACATTAGAGTTATTATATGTTAAATATGGAAGAGAAAAGCTAGATTCTGAAATAGAATAACTATTTGGAAAAGAAGAAAAAAATAGTAATGGAGATGAAATTCATATTACATTAAAAGAATTTGTAGAAAAATAAAGAAAAAGAGATTTTGATATTATAAAAGCAATAGAAACAGAAAGAAAGACTATCAAATTACCATCTAATAAAAATAAAAAATATTGAAATAAAATAAAAATGTTTGAATAAAATTAGTATTTATATATAAATTTTTTATATATTTATTTATTTTTAATAGTATTATTAGATAAATATATATATAATTTAAAAATAAATATATATATATATATATATATATATATATATATATGATATTCACTTAATATTTTATTTCATATTATTTTTTTTTATCGTTTTTCAATTATTTTAATATTTTAATTTTAATAAAATATTAATTATATATACTTAATTTTTTAATATTTATAAATTTTTTAAAATAAATATTAGTAATTTTCTTTATATTTTATTTATTAGTAATTATAATAAATATTTATATATTATAATAAAATTATTTAATTTAATAACAATTTATATATATATATATATAATTTTATATTATAAAGTAAAAGATTCAAGATTTTTTAAAAATTAATATTTTATATTAATTTTTTTATAATATATCTTTATAAATAATTAAATTTTATTTAACAAAGTTAATTTAATTTTTTATATAATTAAATAGAATTTTAAAATTAAAATTTTTTTAACAATAATTATAAAATAAAATAAAATATTAAAAAGATAATTTTATTGAATTTTAAAATAATTTAATAATTTATCAATTATTATAATAAAATAAATTTAATATTTAATTTTTCAATAAATATACTCTATTTATATATTTTTTATTAATTTTTTTTTTTTATATATATTTTTAAAATTATTCAATAATTACTTTTATTGCGTCTATATTTAATCCCTTATGTATTATATTATACGATGTAATTTTATATTAATATTTCTTTTTAATATTTTTTTAAAAAAAAATAATAATTTTAATATATTAATTGAACTATAAAAAAAAAAATGTAAAGCGATGGTGAAATCGATAGATTTATTGAAACAAACTAAACCGTAAAGGAAGAAAAAATAAGAAAGCGTCGTAAAGTAGACTAAAGTGAAAAGAAATTTTAATGTATGGAATGTGGCGCAAAATACCTAAGTAACGAAAGCTTATATACACACAGAAAAAACAAACACTAATAATAAAATGCTATATCATTAATTCCTAATAGAGAAGAAGAATCATTAAATTAAGAAAAAGATAATAATGTTTAAAAAATTCTAATAAATGAAGATACATTCAATATATATACAAAATCATATTTTTTAACATTTTTTAAAGAAATGAAAAAACAATGTGACACAAATAAATAATTCCATAATTTTTTTCATTCAGAAAAACAATGCTATACAATTTTGAACTAATAATTTTTCAACTAAATAAATGTTTAACCTTAACATTTATTAAATTTGTTAAAAGCTAAACTTCTTTATGAAAATAACGTCGATTACTGTTTGGCAAATATAGATTTTAATAAACATACTTTTGCAGAGTAGTTTATTTAAAATTCAATTTAATTATATAATTAATAAAACTTTGAATAATTAGTTAAAATTCCTTACCATTATAAAGATTTCTATTTGGTTGCTAAAGAAATATTGAAACCTATTTCAAATTTTTTTAATATGGAAATGTGTTATTTAATTAATAGGATTATTGAAAAAAGCGAATTTTATCTTTAGAAAAGTTGTTCAATTTTTTATAAGGAGACAAAGTAGGATTTAATATAATTCATTTTAAATCATTAATATGCTTTTGTTAATATTTATAAATTGAATTTATCAAATATAGAAGAATTAATTGATAAACTAAGTCTAAGTATTGCATATTTATTTAAATGAAATATGTTTAATAATAGATCATCAAATATATAATTTTATTTATTAAAAATTAATTAATATATATATTGTAATTTTTTTATTTAAATTAAAATAATATAGAAAATTAATTTAATTGAAAAAATATATATATATTTCTAAATAATATATTGAATTTAATAAAAAAAAAATAATAAATATATATTAATATAAAAATATTTTAATAAATATATAGAAAAATAAAATAATATAAAAAATTAAATTTGTATAAAAAATTAATTATATATTTATATATTATAAAATAATATATATTTTATATATTTATATATTTATATATTTATATATTATTTTTATGACATTTTTTTTTTTTTATATTTTTATTATCTTAAAAATTTTCTATTTTTTTAAATTCTATTATACAATAAATAAATTTTATTTTTTTACATATTTAAATTTTATAAAATAAATTATGTTTTATATAAATATTATCTTCTTATATAATAATTTTTTTTTTATATATATTTTTTAAAACAAAAAACTTTATTTTTATGCAGCATAATAAAATATAGCCAGCTTCATGTGAAATGTATTCGTATGAAAGTTTAGACCGTACACTATCTAATTTATCTATGATTGATGATACTTTTTCTAATATTTAAAATAAATTTGACAATTAAATAAACATATATAATGATAAAATTCAATAATATATTTAAAGAATACATACTTGTTAGTAATAAATACAAGCATTAAATAATGTTTCTAAAGCTATAACATTTATAAGTCCATCATAATTTGTTTAAAAATATAAATTTACTTCCGATAATAAATAATCATTATTAAATGACTATAAATAAAAACATAATATAGTGTAATATGATTTATTAAGTGGATATACTTTAAAAAATAATAAAGAAGATTTAGGATAATAATTAGAAGTATATTATTTTTAACAAATATATATGAATTTATAAAGCATATATTTATTTAAAATTATTTTAATTTAAGGTTAGATATGACGAAATTCCTTAAATTTTAAATTTATAATATAATAAATTTAAGACACGTGAAAAATATTTATTTGAAAACTAAAAATTCAAACTTAAAGTAAAATTTTATTAAATATCAAATATAAAAAAAATATATATATAAAGGAAAGAAAAGAAGGTATCGGCTAACCCGAAAAAAACTTAAAATATGTAGAATCTTTTTTACTATTCAATACGAACATAAATATTTACAAAGTTTAATATATTAAAAAAAAATTAAAAAAATAAAAATATATTTTATAAATAGTAATAATAATACACATAAATAGATAATTTGATAATAAATAATAAAAAATATTATGATAAACCTAAAATAAAGGAAGATTAAATACAACTCTAAGTAGCACCAGGGGCCATAAAATTACAATTGACTGAATATGATTAAAATACAGTAAACTATAATCCTAATAAAAAGAAAAGATAAATAGGAGAAGTAGAAATTGCTGAAAATCTAGAAGGTTTTGATAATATAGTAGATTTTGAAATAGGAAATTTTACAGAAGAATAAGTATAGCTTTCAACAAAAACTAAACCATCTATTCCTGATCCTTATGCGAATAAAGCATGGACTAATTAAAATATTTAAGATTACAATAATTAGTAAAATAATAATTATTAGGAAAATTAATAATAAATTTAATAATAGTAATATTAATAATAGTAATAAATTATACAATAATAATAATAATAATAAAAATAATAATATTAATAATAATAAAAATAATAATAATAATAATAGTAATAATAGTAATAATATTAATAAAATTGTAACTTATAAAAATAAATTTAATAATCTAATAATATTAATTTTAATATGCCACCTACAAATAGTAATAATTAAATATCATAACCTCAAAATAATAGGAATATTTAACCAATGACAAATAATGGAATACCAATAGCTCCTACTATGAATATACCATTACCACCTTCTATAAGTATACAACCTCCTTCTAGTGTAGTAAATATGCCACCGCCTCCACCAAGTAATATTAAATTACAAAATCCTACTTAAATATCGAGTAACCGTGGTGCATTATTGGATTAAATAAAAAATCCAGGAATAAAACTAAAGAAAACTATTACTATTGAAAAAGGAGGTCTAAATGCAACAAAAATGTTATAAAATACATCAGGAAAACAAGTGTAATAAAATCCAGTAAATAAAAAAATACAAATATATAAATATATAAATATATATATATATATATATATATATATATATATATATATATTTATATTTAGGTTGATATACTTAAATAATAAATAGCGATAAGATTTGCTGGTAAAAATCCTCCTTCAAGTTAGAAATAGAAATAAAAGAAAAATAGTGATTCTGAAAATCAAGATAGTGATGATAATTGATTTTTTTTTAATTTGTATCTTTTTTTATTTTATTTATATATTCAATATATAATAATTAAATTGATTATTATTTAAAAAAATTATATTTAAAATAAAATAAATATATAAAAGATATTTTAAACATTTATTAATTTTTTTTATATATTATAATAATATTTTAATATATATTAAAAAAAATCATATATCAGAAAGTTCATCAAAATTTATATCTTAATTATCGTAATTTTCCTAAACTTCTTCTTCATTTTCAAAATCATAGTTTTAACTTTTTTCATCTTTTTAATTTTAATTTTCGTTTTCTTCTTTTTAACTTATTTATTTTTGTTCTTTTTAGAATCTTTAATTACACTACTAATCTTACATTTAATTATCTTATTGATTTTCTTATATTTAATCATGACTATATTTATTATTATTATCATAATCTTCTTCTTAATCTTCCTAATATTCTTCTTTTTATTAAGTATTTTTGATTCCCATTTTTCTATATTTATTTAAAACAGAAGATCCATGTTATTTATTTTCTATCAAAAGATTTTTTTTTGTGACTTTTTCATTAATTTATTATATTTATTATTGATATGATTCCCTATCTTATTTAGCCTTAATAGCTGCCTCTTTTTTTTTTTATTTTTCTTCTTCTTCGATTTATTATTTAGTTTTTTTTGTTCCAAATTTTTCCTATATCTCTCCTGCTCTATCTTTTAATTTCTATTATCTTTGTAATTCTTCTTTTTTTAATTTCTCTTAATTTTCTTATTGCTGTTTTTTTTCTTTTTCTCTTTATTATTTTAATAATTATTCGGCTTTATTGCTTGTTTTCTTTCCTTTATTATTATTTTAAGATATATTATTATTACTTCCTATATTTTTCTAACTCCCTATATTTTTTTAACTTACTATATTTTATGAATCTTCTTTTATTATTTAATTTTCTTATATTTATGCTACTTAATCGTCTTTTAATTCTTAGTTATTTGAAAACTAATAATTATTTTCTTTTTCATCTATATTTTCTTATTATTATTAATCTATATTTTCTTCTTATTCTTCTTCAGATATATTTAAATCAGACTATTATTATTTTTAAACGTCATTTTTATTTTATTTTATTATTATTATTTTTGCTTATTTTAAGTTAACCTTGAAACAATATTCTAGACTTTCATTTTATCAGCTTTATTGATTTAATTTTACAAATCCAAATCATCTTAAATAGCCTTTTTTTATACAGACTATTAAAAATTAAAAGGCTTAGGTACTGTTATAGGGCCTTTTTGGATTAAACTTTTAAATGCATCAACTGCTTATTAATTAACTTGTGTTTATTTTTAACTTGTAGTAGGAATTTCTTTATTTATTTAAGGTGCAAAAGTACATCTTTAAAAACAAAACAAAAAATTATTTTGAAAAAAAAAAAAAAATACTTTTCTTCTTCCCAAGTTTTCGCATTTTTTCTTTTTTCTAAAGTTTCTTTCCATTTATCAGACGCACCTGCTAATCTAGTAAATTCCTTAACCCCTTTAATTTATTCTTATTTTCTTTATTCTATTCTTTCTTTTCTATTTTATTCTTCAATTTCTTACTATTATTTTATTATTTCTATTTTACTAGTTGTTGGCATTTCTTTTGCTTTAAAAACTTTTTGTTTTTACAAATTTAATTGATTCTGGACTTATTCTTATATTTTTTATTTCTTTTCTTCTCTTTTTTAAATATCTTTATCATAAAATGAAAAAGGTTTAGAATTTTCAATAGTTATTTTAATGTTCTCTTCTTTTATTTTTTCTCTTTTTTCTTTAGTCTTTTAAATTATGTTATTAAATATAGGAACTTTTACAGCTATAGGAATATCGTTTGCCTATTTTATTTTATTTTATTTTTTTAAAAAAATTAATTACTCGAAATTATTTTTTCAGTTCAATTTCATCTCTTTTCATATATTATTCTAAGTCTTGTATTTTCTTCTTATAAGTAATACTATTTTCTCTGTCTTTTTAAGTAAGATTAAAAGGCTTAGGTGCTGTAATATTTATTTTATCTTTAGAATTTATTATTTTTTACTTCATTACCTACGTATAGTATTTATCATAATCAACAGTTGTTTTCTTTAGTTCTCCTTTTTGAATAAAGTCTTCTTTTTCTTAAACTGCTTCGTATTATTAAAGACTTTATAAAGGGCCTAATTCAGCTTATTTTTACCTTATTAATAATTCTTAATAATGTTTATCGAAATCATCTATTTATTATAATATGTTTTCACTTCCTTTATCTTAATCAGAATTTTTTAAAACTCTTTTTTTATTATAATATTGATTTATATCTTATTTCCCATTTTCAGTTTTTTTTTATTCGGTTTAAGGACATAATCTATATAATTATTCATAATTAATATTTTCATCTATTTCTTCTTAACTTTAATTTAAATTAACTTAATATTATTTTTATATATTATTTTAAAGATTTTATGTTTCAATAAAATCATTATTTTACTATTATTATTATTCTAAACTATCATCTATTTAAAGAATCTTTTTTCTTTATTTTTCCCTTTCAATATCCCTTTTTTGCCTCACCTCTTTATCTTTTTATTTTTATTTATTTAATTTTTCGTTTTATTCTTTTTCTATTTTCATAAGAGTCTATTTATCATGATCAAACTATTAAGGTCTACCTCTTAAAGAAAAAAAAGGGCGAATATCTTCCCATTCAGTGTATTCGTTTGCTTCTTAAAGAATTCTATCTAAAACTTAACATATAGATTCTTTATCTAATTATGTTTCATTAGATTTTAATCTAGCTATTTCATTTTCAATAGATCGAATTTATGGATCCTTTTTGCATTAAAGAATAAAATCTGTAGTAAAAACAAAATCTAAATTTTAATTAACTCTAGGAATCATGTCAAATATATCTTATATTAATTATAAATAGTTTTAATCAATATCATATATTTGTTCTTCTTATGAATCCTAAAAAAAATATAAATATAAAAAATAAATTTATATGTATAAAAAATTAAATTATAAATATATTAAAAAATAGTATTATTTAAAAACATATAATAAATAAATAAATATAATATATATATATATATATATATATATTTATATTTATTTATATATTTAAAATTTTATATTTATATTTTATATTTATTTATTATTTTTTATATAAAAAATTTATATAATTTATTATGTTTTTATTTTATTTATAATATTATTATATAATCTTATTTATTTTTAATATATTTATATTTTTTAATTTTTTTTTATATATTTTTTAAAATATATTTATAAATATAAATATAAATATATTTTTATTTTTTTATATATATTGATATAATTTATATAATCATATATACTTTTTTGTTTAATTAAGCATTTATTTTAAAATCTGGTTTTAATAATTTTTAAAATAATCAAAAAACTCATTCCAGCTTATATATTCTTTTGCTTAATTTTAATTTTCTTCTTTTTTTATTTATTCTAATATTTATTCTAAACTTATTATTTTATTTACAATTGGCAATTTTACTGCAGGAAATTTCAATATTTTTTAAATCCTTATATTATCTATTAAATTTTATACAAATTCTTATCTTTTGACAATACAATCATTATGTTTGTCTAAATCTACAAAAACTTCTCTTAAAGCATCAATTTATGCTTCATTTAAAACACATAATCCTGAAGTATGTTGTGGATCTTTTTGCATTTATTCGAATAATTCCTCGTTATTAATATTAGTTTTTTTAATTTAATAATTATTTTAGTTTCTTCTTAATAAGTTTTTTTTAATCTATCCCTTTCTAAACAGAGAGTTTATTTACTCATTTCATTTTATTAAATAATAAATTCAGAAAACTCTTATAAACAAAAAAGACCTTTTCTAATTGTTTTAAATTTATTAAGATCCGCGAAAATAGTTTTTGGACATAAATCAAAATAAACAATAGCATCTTTATTTTAACTTACATTATCGAAAATTTCTTATTAAGATATAATTCCAGACTTTTATACATCAATTTATTAAAAAAGAAATTTTATTAAAAAATCGTCATCTTTCTTTTTCCTTTTAAAAGAACTCTGTTTACTTTCATAAATAATTTTCTTATATAAATCATTAACTTTATTTTCATTTATACTAGTTATACCATTATCAAATTATTCACCAAATAATTCTATAAATTAATTTTTTATATAAATATTTAAATATAAATTATTATATAAAATATTAAATGAAAATATAAAATTATATAAATAAATAAAAAAATATAATTAAATTATATATATATATATATATATATATATATATATATATATATATATATATATATTATTTATACATGTTTAAGCTTCTAATTTATCATTAACAATGTCTTAAAATTCTTTTTTTATTAGAACTGGTCTATTTGAAATTACTTAAGATTATTAAATTTTTTATTCTGTATTATTTTTTTAATATTTTTCGAATTATTCTTTATTTTTATATTTATCGAAATCGGGTTTTTCTAATTATTTAAAGTAAGTACTAGTTTATTCTTTTATTTCTTTATCTACAATATATTCTTCATATTATTATTTATAAATTTTTTATTCCAAAGGTATATTTTAAGCATTTTAAATGACTTATTTAGTAGGTTAAATATATTATTTTTCAAATTTAGCAGGTTTTTCATCTAGCATTTTATCTATTTATTAAATTTCTTATTTTAATTGTTAAATTTTTCTCTTTTTCTCATTAAATAAAGTTTCATTTTTTTTTATTTCAATATTTTTTTCCTCCTACATTTCGAGATCTTAATTATTATACCCTGCCAAATTCACAATATTCTGATTTAAAGTTTTAAAAGACTTCATATCTAAATTACCTAATTCTACTTTTCCTTCTACTAAATGCTAAAGCACATCATTTTACATATAAATAGGTTTTTCTTCGAAATCTATAAAATCATTATTCTTTGATTGCTTATATATTTTCTCTAATTCCTTCATTTTTTCTCTATGTTTTTCTAATATATCTTCCACAGTATCTATATTAGGAGTATTATTTTTCCATTCTTTTTAAATTAGTTCCTCTACATCTTTATCTATATTTTTATATAAGGCTTCTTTTTATTTTTCGCTTAAATTTTATTCTAATTATGGTGAAATGCCTACTTCATGTTTTTTTTTTTCATATATTAAATTTTAATGTCTTTATTCCAAAATATTTCTTTTTTAGTGAATTTTATCGACTTTTTAATTTATTTCTTCTAATAATTTATCTGTCATTTAAATTTTTACTTTAGGATTTTCTATGCTATGAAAATTTTGGTTATTTATTCCGAATTTTTAGTTATAATTTATGTAATCTTCTTTCTATTATTTTTCTTCTTATTCTTCATATTATATTCCAAGTTTTTTATATATATCGCTTTTTTTTGGTTAACTATTATCTATTTTGTCTGCTTATTATTATTATAAATGCTAGCTTTTTTCAAGTTTTTTTTAACTTTTATTAATTAATATTTACTATGGGACTTTAAAACCACCAGAATATGAAATATGTTGTTTTACTTAAATGGGTATTTCTTTGGGCTTTTTTTAGTTTTCGGTGTCTTATAAAAATTATTATGTTAAATCTACTAAATGGATTTTTTAATCGTTAGTTTATGTTGTATATATATTTTTTGTTAATAATGACATTTTTTTTTAATTTATTTAAGAAAACAACTTATATTGATTATAATTTAAATTATTATTTTTTTATGTAAAAATATTATAACTTTTTTTTTTTTTTTTTTGTGAATTTTTTTTTTTTTTATTATTAATTAATTTTTATATATATATATTATTATTTTCATTTAGGATAACATTACATTGAATTAGATAAAAAATATGATAAAATTTCAAGATTTATATCTATATTTTCAGAATATAAATAAGTTACCTTTTATTTTTTATAAAAATAAAACAAAAAAATAAAATAAATAAAAAAATTACTTCTTACATAATTTCATCTATTTCTTAAGGAGTAAAAACATCATAATTTTAAATTTTCTTTTTAAAAAGTTAATTACTAATATAATTATCATCTTTTTTTTATTTATTTTAATTATTCACATAAAACTTTAAAATTCCCTAAATAAGATTATTTAAATCAATTAAAAAAAAAGCTTCTTTCTACCTTAAATAAGAAATAAAATCATTATAAGTAACATATTCACCATCCTATAAAAATTATTTTTATATTTATTTATTTATCATTATATATTTTAAAAAAAAAATACCAGACAACATCTTTTAACTAAAATAGCAAAAGCTGTATAATTTAATCTACTACCTAATTATTTAACTAGGCTATCAAAATTATTTAATTTAACACGTAATTCATTTCGTTTAGGTGTTTATTCTTCATCATTTTAATTATTTTATTCGTTATTAAGTTATGAATGAAAAACGAAAGATTCCATAATATCAATTTCTTATGATTTTTCAATATAATATTCTCTAAAAGCAACTTATTCTTAATGTTTATGATAAGCCCTATCTGTTAAAACCTGAACTAATTTATATAAAATTTTATTTTTGCTTCTTTTTTAATCAAAGCAAACTTTATATACAAGTTTTTTTTTTTTCAACATTTAAATCTTAATTTTTTTTAAAAAAAAATAATAATATTATATATTTATTTCTTTTTAGAATGAAATTATTTTATATATTACTGTATTTTTTTAAAAAAATAAACACTATTTAAAAAAAAGGTATAAAATACCATTTTTTTACACGATATTTTGATTTAGTATATTGTATTTTTTGAAAAAAAATCACAGAAAAATAAAAAAAATGCTCAAAAAAAATATATATTATGTATACATTTGTTATTATAGTAAGCTAATATACACACATAGGAACTAAAACGAAAATATTAATAAAAGTAAAAGCAATAGAAATACTCATAATAATATAGTAAAAAAAAATATTAGATACATAATATTCATATAACATATCAATAATCCAGATAACCTAAATAAAAAGAGGAATATGAACTAATTAATAACTCATATTAGGGCTGTTAAACCAGAAAAGATTTTCTTGTTTATTATAAGGTTTGGTAATATCTTAAAGATTATTTAAATATTCAGGGACTTTAATTTTATCTACATTAACCATTGGATGTCTTTGTTTTTCAAATTAAATAAATTTTATATCGTAAGGATTATCAACTACATGAACTAACTTAGTATAATTCATATATAATTTTTTATAGAAAAAAACAAGAAAAGTCATAACAAAAAATGGTAAAACACTCATAATGTAGAAATTATAAATTTTATCATAATCAAGAAGAGCAATTAATAATCTAAAACTAATAAGAATTAAAAGTACGAAAATACTAACTGCATTTAATTCAAATGATTTCTTACCAACCTCAGCTAAACATCTATTTTATAAATAATAAAAATAAATATTATAATAAATAAATAAATATTAATAAAAATATAAATATATATATAATATATATATATATATATATATATTTATATATATATATTTATTTTTATTTATATATATATTATAATATTTATTTATTATATTTTACCTTGTTAAATAATTAGAAAAATCAATATATATACTTATATATATATATTTATTTTTATTTATATATATATTTTTTTCATTTTTTATTAATATTTATCTTTATTTTTATATTTTACCTTGTTAAATAATTAGAAAAATCGAAGTCATTTCTTAAAAAATTTTCTGCTATTGTAGGTTAAAAAGATGGCGCAATAAATTCTTACCTTATTAAAAAATATTCTAACAATTCCTTTTTTATTGTTAATTCAGTATTTTTTTATGAATTGAATGTTTATGGTTGTTAGTTTTTATTTATATATAAGTTTTCATATTTTTTTAGTATACTTTATTAATTTATTATTTCTTTTTCATAATTTCTCCATATTTTTGCTTAAGCTTAATGCACAAAAATATTAAAAACTCCTAAAAATAACCAAATAATTGCAAAAATTGCAATCCCTATGCATAAAGAGTCTACATATACAAAATCATCTAAAAAATATAATGCATCAAAATAATTTAAAATTAACATTAATGTTGAAATAAATAATATTAAAGTAATATCTCTTTTTTTTTATTAATATAAATTTATAAATATATATATTAATTATATTATTACTTTAATATGCTATTTACTAAAAGAAAAAGTTTTTATTTTAATGATTATTTTATTGAATTTTTTATTGTAAGTGCTAAAAAGTATATTATTATGAATGTGAAGAGGTATAATAAACCATATATTTCTATTTTATCTTCAGTTTTTTATGTTTTTAAAAAATTTTGTTAAGCAATTTGAAATATTTTTTGATTAATATTAAAGTATTTTAATTAATCGATTTTGTTTTTATTTTACTCAATTTCATTTATAATTGAATTTTATTTATTATTTTGTTTTATACCTAAACACTATTAAAATATTATTATAAAAATTAAACATCTAATAATTTTTTTAGATATCATTAAATATATGTTTTTTTTATTTTTATAATTTTTTATTTTTTTAAAGACTAAAAAATTAATTTTTCTTATATTAATAAACAATATATATATATATATATATATATTTTATATAATTAATAACAAATAAAAATATAAAACGTATTTTAATAAAACTATAAATATATAATATTAATCAAATTTATATATAATATAGGATTATTTTGAAAAAAAATATAATAAAAAATAATTAAAACTCCTTTCAAAAAAAAATATATTTTTATACTATTAGAAAAAAATTAAAAAATATGTTTGATTATACTTAAATTGATCTTTTTTCAAGAAAAACTTTGTAATTCAATATAAAATCTTTACTTATTAGTAATTTCGATTAAATATTTTCATTTAGGTTTATTTTATTTTTAAAATAATCATTAAAATTAAATAAGACAAAAAGTAATTCAAGAAAAAAGAATATAATCACACTCAAGCTCAGCAAGAAGTTTTCTCATAAGGCTCCCCGGAACTTTTAGTTATATTTAATCCCGTAAACTCCTCTGATGTAGTAGGATGAATACCTATAGTTCTATCTAAATCGAATTTAGTCGTACCTAATTTCATTGCTACAGCATATCCTTACATAACCTCACCCGCATTAGGTCCCAAATAATGAATACCTACAATTTTATCATTTTCTAATTTATTACATATTATTTTAGCATAAGCTTTCCTTTGCAAAGAATTATAATCTTCATCATATCTTGGAGAAATTTATTCTTCTAAAGGTGTATATTTAGAATGATAGACTTCTATATTTTCTTCTCCATATTTCTTTATTGACTATTCTTCAGATAATCCAGTGCATGAATATTCAGTAGGAGTAAATATGGTTGTAGGGAAATCATTTACATCCAATTTTAATTTTTAGAAATATACACAATTAATATCTTTATTTTATCTTTTATAAATAAGTCTTTTGGCTAATAATTAACCTTGTTTTTATGCTACAGGCGTTAGTTCAGGAATACCATCAAGAACCTCACCAATTGCATATATATTTTTATATTAGTTTACTCTAGTTCGTTTTCAAATCTTCCTTTATCTTTATTAATTTTTATAAATATTAATATATGTTTTATTTTTAAAACTTTTTTATTTCTATTATTTATTTATATTCCTATTCTATCTAAATTTAATTTTTAAGTATTTGCTTATCTTCCGATTGCAAATAAAATAGTATTAAAACCTTTAATAATAATAATAAAATGTATTAAATAATAAATATATAAAAAAATACAATCTTCAGTTTCTTATTAAGTAACTTAGTTAACAATTTTAACCTTAAATAAATTTTCATCAACTTTTTCAATTGAAGAAGGTAAAGAAGTAGGTACAATATTAACACCATTTTCTTTTTAGAGATTATAGACGATTCTATATGCAATGTCTTAATCAAATTCTAATGTTTATATAAAAATAAAGATAAATTTAAATATATATATATATAAATTATATATTTATATATTTAATTATATATTATATTTAATTTAATTTATTTTAATATTTTTTCATTTAAATTTTTTTGTTTTTAAACTTTTCTATTAAAATAAAGTATATTTTCAAAAAAAATTTAATGATATTTTATTTATTTTTATAATTAAATAAAATAAAAAAATCTATTTTTTATAATTATTTGTTTATATATATAAGAATATTATTTAAATATAAACATAAATAAAAAAAATACCTCTTAAATATAATTATCTTGTCATCATACTAGTATGATATCCTAAAGTACTTAAAAAACCCGCACATTCTACTGCAATATATCCACCCCCTACAACCAGTGTTTTTCTTGGTGGACATTTTTACATGAAAATATCATCACTAGTAATACCATATTTATAGCTATTTTTACATTATTCATCTGGTAAAATTAAAGGCCTACCTCCTACTGCAATAACAATTTAATCAGCTGTAATTTTTCCTAAATCTTCTTATTTTTCTTAATTAATTAAATTATTATCTTATAAATAAGATGATATATGTTATGATTTTGGAGAAAAAACTAATGTGTTTTTATCATAAAATGTCGCTAAAGCATTTACATAATCAATATTTTTATCTACTAATTATTTTTTGTAACCAAAATTTATACTTTTTATATATGATTAGACATTTTATACTAGGTTCTCCCATATAAAATGTTTGCTATCTAATTTTCCTTCATTTAATTAATTTAAATCAAATCCATATCCAGGAGAGTTTAATAAAATTTCCTTTTATTATTTATATTTTTCAATTTATTTTATTTTTAAATTCAAAAAACCTTATATAATCCTGATGTATGCATAAGTTTTTTAGGAATGCATCCAACATTAACACATGTTCCTCCTAATCCCCATGTATTACCTCTATTTATATTCAAATATATTATTATTTATATAAATTTTTTGAATTTTTATTTATTACTATGTTGATTATTCTACATAATCAAAAACTACTGTTTTTAAATTATGTTTAGAAGCTTCCTATTTTTAGTTTATATATATATATTTTTAATTATATTTTATTTAAATTTACTAATGCGAATGCTAGTCCTCCTGATCCTCCACCAATAATTGCTACATCATAATGTTTATTATTTATTTTCTAATCTATTAAAGGCTTGGTTTTTAAATTATTGAGATTTATAGTGCCTTACAATTAAACTGTTGAAGAAAATCTATATAAAGAAGAAGTAGATTTATTTTAATTCAAAAAAGAGAAAACATATTGGTTTAAAGTTGGCAATTTAATTATTTTAAACATAATTTTATTTAACCTTTAATATTAATAAAATAGAAAAATTATATATAAAATATTTAATAAAAAAATAAAGATAGTTTATTGTAATTACTTATTTTTTATAAATAATATTCATTTAGATAAAAATAAAGAAAATAATAATAATAAATAAAACATAATATAATATTGATATTTGTATATTATATTAAATATTAAAAAAATAAAAAACTAATTGATATTAATTTATTTGAAGTTTTAAAAGAAAATAACCTTTATTTTTTTTTGATTAAGTTAAAAAATAATAAAAATAATAATTTTTTTTCATTATTTTAAATGTTTTTGTATAATGTTTTTTTTTAAAAAAAATAAAATAAAATATATAATGATTTATTAAATTTTTTTTAAAAAAATTATAATATTTTATCCTTCAAAATATTATATTTAATTTGTTTTACATTTTCAAATAAATTAATAAGACTTTTGATTTTCGTTATAAATTAAATAAATAAAATATTTATATAAATATTATTTTAATATGTTATTATAATTTTTATTTTCTTTAAATAATTATTTAATACTTAAATATAATTTTCAATATTTATTTACTTTTTATTATTATATATTTTATGTTAATAATTAATATTTTAATATATTAATTATTATCTTAGTATTTTATAATAAATGGAAAAAATATATCAAGCTTAAGGTGTTTTTTCTTATTAGACCATAAGAGTTATATATTTTATTTAAACTAATATTTTAATTATTATACATAAGATATCAAATAATTAACCATCTTTTAGTTATATTATGTTTTATTTTTGATGTATTATTAATTGAATTGAATTTAATTAAAATATATTATATTTTCGTATAATTCTAATTTTTCATAAACAATTTTTTTATCATTATTATTACTTTTAATCTAAACTCATTATTTTCTTCTAATTTCATTTTTTCTTTATAAAAATGAAATCTAATTTTAAGTAAAAGAAATTAATAGATAAAAAGATATATGATGTAAAATATAAATATTAATAATGTGATTTAATTTATTATTTTCTTCTATAAATTTATTAACTTTATATATATAATTGAAACAAAACAAAAAATATTATTTAATATTTAAAGAAATATAATAAAAATAAAACTTTTTTGAATGAATTTTTAAAAAAATAATAAAAAAAAAATAAGATAATATTTAAATTATTTATTTTTTAAAATAATAATAATAATTAATTAATTAATTTAAATAAATATTTGATTTTAAATAAATATAAAACATAAAATTTTGTATATATTATTATAAAAAAAAACAAATAAGTTTTAAATGAAAGAATAATACAATAGCGAAATTCAAAAGCTAAAAAGAGATTTAGCAGTATAATTTGAAAGAGTAAAAGATTTAACAATTGAAAAATAATCTTTAGAAGAGCAATATCATTAATGTCGTATAGTAAAAATAAAATAATATGCTTTTTTTTTATAATAAAACAAAAAAAACAAAAACAAAAAAGGAAAGAGAAGATTTTTACAAAGAATATTAAAAAGCATAATTATTAAAATAAAAAGTACAAGAAATTGTCTAATAAGAAGTAAAAAAAGCCAGAGAAGAAGAAAGATTGAAATTCTAAAAAAGCTTAAATGAAATGGAATTATATAAAGAAAAAAACTAATAATTATTAATAAAAGTTCAATCTTTAGAATAAGATAGTCAAAACAAAGAATTATAAATAAAAAAATTAAGAGCAGAATTTAAATAATTAAGTAAAAAATAAGAAGGAGCAGATTTTGATGAAGAATAATGGGAAAAAGATTAAAAAGAAATAATGGAAGAAGCCACTTCTTTAAGAAGAAAACTTAACAAAGAAAAATAAAAATATAATGATTTATCAGAAAAATGGACAATATTTTAGCAGAAAATAGAGTTTTAAGAAGATTAGCTAAAGTGTCAGAAAATTATGGGTTTAATTTGGAAGAAATTAAAATAGCAGAAAAATAAAAAATAGAAGACTATAAAGCTTAAGTTAGATATTTAGAAAAAGAAGTAGAAGAATTAGAAGGTGAAAGAATGTAATTAAGAAATAGACTAAGAATACTTTCTAATATATATGATTAGAATCCTAGAGGAGATAGATATTTAGGACTGACTTAAAATGAATTGTATATTTAAAATATATAAAATATATATTAATATATATTTAAATTAAATAAAAATATTTATATATATATATATATATAAATATATATATATTTATTTATATTATTTCACCTATTTTAAATACACTTAATTAGATAATAAGTTGATGAATTTGTTGCTAATTTAAAAAATAAAATTCGAGTAAAGGTTACTTAAGATGACACAAAAACTTAATTAATTAAATAAATAAAAGAACTTGAAGATCAAGTAAGAAGATGTTAAATTGAACATGTAGAAAGAGAAAAAGATACTGATAAATAAAAACGAAAAAATAAAAATTTTGTAAAAATTAATAAATATAAATATATTTATTTATATATATAGAATGATAAAGATATATAATTAATTTTAGAATAAAATAACGAATTAAAGAAAGCGTTAGAACAAATAACATAATAATTATCTTAATTATAAAGTAATAAATCGATAACATAAAACAAACCAAGTATAGATTCAGAAAATAATGAATTAGATATAAATAATAAAGGATATCCTATATATTTATAACATTTAGCCAAACCACCTTAACCATTGCCTGGTGCTCTTGGGAATTGGGATGATATATCCTAAGTAAGAAGTTATAAATTCAAACAAAATATTCCTCCAGAAATATTCGAATTATATAGTGAAGGAGGGTTCAATTAGACTTTAGCGAAATATTAAATAGCATAACTATAAGTAATGAATATCGAAATAATAAAATTATTAACAGAAAAAGAGAAAGAATATAATATTTTATAGTCAGAATCAGAAGAAATGAAAAATTAATTAACAAAATGTCTTCTTATATAGGATAATCTATATGAAAAACACTATGAAGTGAAAAGTAAATTAGATGAAAAAGTTAAAATTATGGAAAATTAATTAAATGATAAAACTTGTGAAATTTAAAGACTAAACGAAGAACTTTATGAATACAAAAATATTAATTAAATTTCATAAAATAATGATAGAGATAAATTAAAATAAAAACTTGCTGAAATGACATAAAAAACATCAATTTTAGATGTTAATTTAATAAAGTATTTATACATATATATATATATATATATATATATATTTATATATTTAAATATATATATTTTGTTTCATTTTTTAATTTATTACTATTTAATAGAATTTCGAGAAAATATTCTTGTTTAAAAGATGAATATATTGAAATTTCAGAAGCTTATAAGAATTATAGCGCCGAGTTTTGCAAAAAAGAAACTATCTTGATTGAAAAAATATAAGGTTTAGTTGAATGGAAAAAGAAATCTTAACATTATTTAAAAACCTTGCTTTAAGAAGTTTAAGATTCTGTACATAAATCTCGATTTAATATATTAAGGAATAAATTCGATAAATAATAAGATGAATTAGCTAATATAAAAGAAAAAAATACACAATTGTTATCTGAAATACATAAATTAAAAAGTATATATATATTGTTTTTTAATATTAATATACAAAAATTATAGATTCTGAAAGAATGTTGTTTGAAAAAAACTAAAAAATAAGAATTTTAGAAGATGAAACATTAGAAATATAACTAGAATTATAAATGACAAAAAAAATGTTAGAAATAATAGACCCTCATTATAAAAAATATTTAATCTCATATTAAAAATTAGTTGATATAATGATAAATAAAAGCATTTCTCCAACATAAATTTTCTAATAAATTGATGACAATAGAGATGGATTTTTAGGTCCTTAGGAATTTTTATAAGCTATGAGAAATTTAAAAGTTGATTTTAATTAATAAGAAGTTGAAATATTATTTAAGTAATTATATATATATTTATTAATTTTATATATATATTGTATTTTATTTTTAATTTTTTTATTTATTAAATACTTTTAGATTTATGGATTTTGATGGAAGTAATAAGATTGAATTAAAGAATTTACTAGGAAATTAAGAAGATCAGGCGTTACTATAAGAAAATCCTAAGAATAGTTAATTTATGATTTATGGGAAAAAATTTAATAAGCTGGACTTAGTTTAGGTGAAACTTTTAAAGCATTCGACAAAGATGGTAGTGGAGAAGTTACTAAAGAAGAAACGTACATAACTTTGAAATCTTTAATAAAAAATATAGATGAAGAAACAGTTTCTTATGTCTTCCATATGGCTGATACTTCTGGAGATGGAAAAATTACTTACAGTGAATTTCATTCTCTTTTTGAAAATATTATATCTGATGTTATGAGGTTTATAATATAAAAATTTATATATATATTTTTAATAAAAGATAATAATTACTTATGACTGCAGAAGATTTAAGTTGGTAAAAGAAAGTTATTTTAAAAATAGATGAAGCAATACATTCATAAGGTTAATATATAAAAGATTTATATTAGTTATTAGATAATAATGATGACGATGAAATCGATTTTATAGAGTTTAAATGTATAATATATATATATATATATATATATATATATATATATATATATATATATATATATATATATTATATATAATATTTTTTATATTTTTATAATTTTATATATATATTAATATTTTATATATTTTATATTTTTAATTAATAATAGCCCTTTTTGTTAAACTTTAATTAAATGTTTAAGATGAAGAATTAAGACAATTATTTGCTGATATAGATATTGATAGTAATGGTAGTATAGAATATAATGAATTAATAAATTATATACGAAGTGCGAAAGTAGAAAAGATGAAAATTGAAAAAATGAAAAGAGTAGGTGCTAAAATAGACGCTATGTAAAAATAAGGACAACTAAGAGAATTAGATACTTAAGATATATAAAATTTACCAAAGGAAGCTCGCTTGGAATTAAAAATTAATCTCTTAGAAATAAAAGATAAAAACTTAAATAGTAGATGTGATATACTTATGTATTAATTAAATTTAACAGAAAAAATGAATGCTAAACTAAATTTATAGTACTATTATTAATTTTTATTTTTTAAAAAAATATATAAATTAATATTATTAAATAAAAGATTAAAAGATAGAGAAAATGAAATAATATTATAAATAAAAAAGTATAATGAATTATAAAAACTTTATCATAGAGCTTAAAATACGTTAGAAGGATGTGAAACAAAATAAATGAGTAAATAAATACATAAAATAAACAAAAGATTATAAAAAGAAGCTATGGAATTAAGAGTTTAAAATAAAAATTTAAAAAACCTTCACGAATTTGCCAGTAATTAAGTAAAAGAATTATTAATATCAAATGAAAGAAAAAAATTTGAAACAGAATCTTTATAAGAAACAATTAAAGAATTATAATCTACTTCTGATGAAAAGGCTATTGTCGGTAAATTATAGCATTCTTTAATGATTGCGAAATACAATTAATCTCAAACTAATATAAAATACGATAATTTAATACATGATTTAGAAAAATATTAATAATAATTACAAATTACAGAATTTGAATTAAATGAGGCTAATTAAGATTCAATTGAATCTCGAGAAGTTTTAAGGTAAAAAATTTACGATTATGAAGATAATATTACAGATTTAAGAAATAAAATACTACCAACTATTACTATGTCAAAAATAGATGATATGTATAGAAGAATAAATGAATTATCTTCTGTAAAAACTGACTTAGAAATTTAAAATAAAAAATTAAGAGATGATAATCATGAATTAGCAAGTAAATATATTATATTTAATCAAGTAATTTTATTTTTTATTTTTTAGTAAAATGTGATTATTTTGAAGCTTTAGAGTAATAATTTGACGAATTAAAAAATGATTTAAAAACAAAATACAGCGATTAGTTATAATAGAGAGTAATAGAGTTATCTTTATAAGTATCAGAGTAAAAACTGATGGAAATGAAGGCTAAAAGAGACTAGGAAATCGCAAAAGAAAAAGAAGAATATTATTAAAGAATTACGCGATAACATCTAGAACATGTGAAAGCTTTGGAATAAGAATCAGAACTTACAAATAAAAAGTTTAATGAAAGAGAATAGTTTTGGAGGTAAAAACATTAAGAAGCAATGAATTTAGTTATGAATGATAAAGAAATGAAAGAAAAAGATAAAAATGATGATCCAATATATAGATTAAGAAGATAAGCAGGAAAAACAAATAAAATAATAGGAACTGTTTAGTTAAATAATACTTAAGAAAATGCAAAAGAAAAAAATCAAAAAGAATACTAAAATACAGTAATGCATAAAGGAGTTAAGTATATAAATGAATTAGAAGCAGAAGATAATGAAAATTAAGAAAATATTTAAAATCTAAAAAAAGAAATAGAAGTATATAAAGAAAGATAAACAAGTTTATATCAAGAAATAGATAGATTAAAAGAATTTGTAAATTAATTAAAAAATGAATAAAATAATAAAAAGTAAATAAAAATAAAATATTAAATAAATATAAAAATATATATATAAATAATATATTATAAATATATATATAAAAATATATATATATATATATATATATATATATATTTATTTAAATATATTTTTTTATACATATATTTTTTATTTTTTTTTATATTTACATTTATATATATATTTTGTATTTTTAATTAATACAATTAAATTCATATATTTCCTAGTAACAATAATTTCGAATATAGTGAATAAAATAGATATAATTTTATAAATGAAGATAGTTAAAAAATAGCTTTAGCTGCTTAAAAAACTATCAGTACTTTATAAGGTCTTATAGATGATAAAAATTACGAAATTGAAAGAAAAGATTTACTTATTGAAAAAATGAAAAGAGATTTTAGATAAGAAAAAGAAAAAGATTCAGCTGAAATTCGAAAACTTTTAATGTAGGCATGTTCTACATCAGGTTCTAGAAATGATATATAAAATAATAATAGTTTCTTTTCAAAAAATGATGAAGAAAACTATAAATCTAAAAATAATTTAGAAAGTTAAGTTGATTAATTATCAATTAAATGTAAGCTTTAACAAAAAACAATAGATGAGGTAATTTATATTAAATAAATATAATTTATTTTTATATATATATATATATATATATATATATATATATATAATTTTTTTATATTTATAAGCTTGAAGTTCTTGTAAAAAGATTAGAAGATGAACTAATAATTTCAAGATAAAACCATAAAGTTTAAGATCTAGAAGATTAAGTAAAGGCTTTATAAAAATTACTAAAAGAAAATAATAGAATTATTCAAGATTTGAAGAAATAGAAAGAAGCTTTATGTAAAGAATATAAAGATTCAGTTGAATAAAATGTTGATAAAGAAGAAGAATATAAAAAGAAGATTCTTTAATTAAAAAAAGATAAATAAATATTAGAAAGACAAATAAAAGATTCACTCGAATCAATAAATAAATTAATGAAAGAAGCAGAAAATTCAAAAAACTAAACATAAAAATTATAAATATAAGACCTTTTGAAAAAAGAAGAAAACTTAAAAAAAAAAGATTCTGACAAAACATAAATATAATAATAATAATAATTAGCATTAACTTTAAAAGAATAAGATTTATAACATTAATTAAATAAAGAGAAATCTGAACATTCAAAAACTTTAGAAAAACTCAAATAAATAGATATATAAAATAAGGAATTTTAAGAAACTATAAAACATTTCTCAAAGGAAAAATATTAAGGAATTTATGATTCAAATAATTACTTAAAACCAATTAAAAAAATGTCTTTTGAAAATTATTAAGATATAGGTTAGTCGATTAAGATTTATTTACAAAATACACCAAATTATGACCTTTTTAAAGAAATAAGGTAGCAAGATGAAAAGAAATAAGGATTTATTTTTGCAAGTAACCTTAAGAAGATCTTCGATTTGAAAAATATTAATTTAAGGACTGAAGATTTCCAAAAATTAATACAAGGAAGTTAAAAAATTGAAAATAAAGTAAATAATTAAGACACTAAAGTAGATATAAATAAGCTTTTTTGTATTATATATAACCTATCAGATGCATAAACTGAAACAGAATTTAATTAAAACTAAGATTAAAATAAAGGAAATCATAAAAACAGCGAAAAATCAAATTTCGAATAGGAAAGGTTTTTACTTTTATAAGATAAAGACAAAAACCCTAGAAAAGAAGAAGAATTGTAAAAAAGAAATGAAATGTTAAAAATCTAAATTTAAAATTAAAAAGAAGAAAAAGATAAACTTTAAAAATAATTAAATTTAAAATCTGAACAATGTAAAATTTTGGAAGTTTAAATTAAGAAATTCCAAAATAAAAATAATAATAATGATAAATAATAAGATTAATTTATAGTAGGAGGATACAAAGATGAAAATATAGCCTAATTAAAATAGAGTATATTTAATTTGGAAGAAATGAATTAAAAATTAGAATATACAGTAAGAAATAAAGATATAGAAATTCATAAACTAAAAGAAGATATAATTAAATAAGATCAAAGTATTAAATAATTAAAAATTTAAAATATGAAAACTAAAAATACACTCGATAATGCTATCTCTAATAAAATTTAACCTGAATAACTTAAAGATAATATATTCTAAGAAAAAGAATTACTTATTAGAGAATTAAAAGAAAAACTAGATAAAGCAAGATAAGATGAATAACATTTAGTTGACAGATTGTATATACTTGAAAAACAAAATAAAGTAAAATAAAAATAATAAGCATTTATATATATAAAATAAAATGTATATATATATATATATATATATATATATATATATAAATTTAAATATAATATATATTTTATATTTATTTTAGGAACTTGCATATATTAAAGAAAATTTTGATAATCATATAGAAAGGTTAAATAGAAGAATTTCAGAATTATCAGAAAATCAATAAAACTAATAAAATTATGTTAAATTCTCAAATGACAATAAATAATCATAATAATCTGCTCTTAAAAAAACAGTTGCTAAAAGATGAATTAATTCTTTATTTTTTATTTATTTAATTTAATTATATTTACAATAGTTTTTAAAAAATAAAATATATATTATATTTTTATCTTAATAATTTTTTTTTATTACTAAAATATAATAATAAATTACAAAACGAAATATTAAAATATATTATTAAAAATATATAATAAATATTTTATAAAAAAAAAAAATTATTTTAAGGTTAATTATATTTTTAAATTATATTATATTTAGATATAAATTTATAATGAAATAAAAATTAAAAATAATTTGCTTAATTTATATATTAATATATAATATATTTATAATAATTAATTTAGTAAATTATTTAAAATAAAATAAAATAATATAAAAATAAAATAAAATAAATATACAAATAATTTATGAATAAAAAATAATAATAATTGTAATAATAAAAAAAATTATATAATAATAAAAAAATATATATAAAAAATATAATATTTAATATATAAAAAATTATAATAAATAAATATTATAAAAAAAATATTATATATAAGTAAATACTATATATAAAAAATATATAATATCAAAGTGTTTAAGATATTAAAAAAATAGTATAAATTAAAAGATATAAAATATAATATATAAATATTTAATATTTAAATGAATTTATATACATATACATATATATATATATATATATATATATATATATATATATATATATATATTACAATATTAAATATTTTTCTATAATAATCTATTTATTTATTTTTATTTTTTTATTTATATTATATATATATATTAATTAATATATTATATTTTTTTATTTTTTTTTATATATATAATATATAAAATGCTTGAAAAAATTAAATTATAATATGAATCTTCATTTCTTGATTAATAAAAAATTTTTTAAATATTTTAATAGCGTTAAATAAAAGAAGATGATAATTCCAGCCTTCCTATATTTTAAACTAAATCTTATTTTTCAAGTAAATAATCCTAAAATAAATAATAAAAATAATTTTCTTAATCTTTCTAAATTGAATAATCTAAAACTTGCATCAATTAAAAATCATAAATTGTTTAAATTAAAAGCCAATTAGGTTAAACTTAACATAATAATGTATTTTAATAAAATTCTATTTGTTTACTTAATGGTTTAAATTAAATTATATAAACTCCAGATTCTTAATAAAATTAAAATTAAAGGAAAAGAATATATAAATTAAACTGTTCTCCTTAAAACAATAATAACGAGAATAGTTAAAATTTCGATATTCGCAATTTGAATTTAAGCCAAGACTAAAAAATAATTTCAAAAAAGAATTTTAATATAATAAATTAAAGTAAAAATATTGAAAAAAGCAGCTTTTTTTTCACCCTTAAACTAAAAAAACTAGCCACTTAAATAGTTCAAAATTTATAGAGTAGAAGATATTAAAATTTGCGTTAATAACATTTGAAATTTTTCAATGACAAGACTATTTTTGTTCATAATGATTAAAAAATATTTACTAATGATAAAAAAAACGAATAATTTTTGCTTAAAAATAACTTCTCATGCTATCAATATTTAAATTTTTAATTAATTAAAATCTATATTTAATTATTAACTGAAAATACAAGGAAAAAAATACAAAAAATTCCTACTTTTTAACCCTCTAATTAATTTAAATTAATGTGGGACTTATTAAATTTATTAGCTAATTTTTATTTTTTTCTATTTATACCATTAAAAATAACGTTTGGTTTAGGTTTATATTCCAATTCCTTTAGTTTTTTAAGTGTTTTTATAATCATATTTGATATTCTAGTCACTTTAAATACTAGTTATTATTCTAAAGGAGAAATAATAGGCAATAGAATTAATATAATATCAAATTATTTGTCAAAGAGGTTTATATATGACATAATATCACTATTACCATTGTTTATAAACGACCAAAGTGACCGAAAAGAAAACATTTTAACTGATAAAAAAAAAATTTTAGAAAGCATTATTTCTATTTTATTTTTTATTCGTATTTCTCATATAACAAATTTAAAAAATAAGCTAGAAGATTGTATATATTAAAAAAAAAACTGACATATTTAATGCAATTATTTAATTTATTAATATATGCACTCTATATAGCACATATTTTTGCATGTATATGGCTTATTATTGCACGATATGAAATTAAAAATGAAAAAATGAGTTGGATTACAAATTTTTAAATACAAGAGGATTAATTTTTGAGTTAATATTTATATAGTCTATATTTTGTAACTATAACGATGACAACAGTAGGATATGGCGATATTAAACCAACAAATTAATTAGAAGTAACTATTGCAATTACAATAACAATAATAACTACAGGAGTTTTTGCTTATTGTATTAATCAAATAGGTAATAATTTAAAAGTAAAATAAAATTTAAAGTATATATATATTTTATATATGTATAATATAAATAAATATATACATATATGTATATATAATATATATAATATATATATATTCATTTTTTTTTTTTTATAATATAAATATGTATATATATTATATATAGTATTTATTCATGTATTTTTATACATATATATTTTTATATATTTATATCCGTTTCTATATATTGTTATATATTTATATATATTTTACTTATTAATGTCTTTTTTATATTTTTATAGGAACTATAGTTAAATTTTTATCTGAAGAAAAAGAAAAATCTAAATATACTATATAAATCATAAATAATTATATGTCTAAAAAAAATATTAATAAAGATTTATAATAATAAATAAGAGAATATTTAGAATATTATTTAAAAGAATCTACTATAAATGATCACGATAAAGAATGTAAAATTATTAATATGTTATCTGAGCCTTTATAAAAATAACTCATGATATAGGCTAATAAAATTGCTTTGATTGATTCTCCTATTTTTAGGAATAATTTTACTGAAAATACTATTTAAAAAACTGTTTTTTTAATACAAGAAATACGTTGTACTCCCGAAGAAATATTATTTTATGAAGGAGATTTGGATGATTGTTCTATTTTTTTTATTTTATAAGGTAAACTTGAATTATTTGTTGATTCTGATAATAATCTAGGAAAATAAAAAATTAATTCTTTAAAAATATTTAATAAAGGTCAATGTGTGGGTGAATAAAGTTTTTTTACAGGTTAACCAAGAGAAACAAGTATAAGAAGCGTAGATTTTACAACTTTGCTAATGATAAAAAGGTAAGATTTTATATCTATACTAAAAGAATCTCCAATAGATTATGAGAATTATTGTCACATAAAAGATAAATTAGTTTTATATAAAAATTATAAAAATTTAGGAAATAAATGCTTAAGTTGTGATAGTGATTATCATTTTGTTAATGAATGTCCATATATACATTATATACCAAATTAAAATAAAGTAAATATTTATATATATATATATATATATCTAATATATTTATATATTTATATATTTATATATTTATATATTTATATATTTTCATAAAAAAAAAAAATAGATAATAAAAATATATTAAAAACCTATATTTTAAATTCGAGATTAATTTCCATGTTATATGAGACATTAAAAATATAATACATTTTCTTTAATTGATAAAGTGTAATATGAAGCTAATTTAATATTTAATAGAAATATTTAATTTATATAGAACTAAGAATGGTTTGATGAATACTAAAAATCAGATTTAGAATATAATGTTTATTTAGATTATGATGAAAACAATGAAACAAATTCTGAAAATCTAATAAATGTTTAAAGTAGTTTAAAAGAATTTAATAATAATCATGAATAGGAAGAAAATAATATTATTTATAAAAAATAAAATAGTTTAAATTAAAAAAATCTTCAATTAAATATATTTCCAAACTTAGAAGAAAATAAATTCTTTTTAAGAAATTAATCATTAAAATCTTAACCATAACCCCTTTCTGGTTTAACAGAAAATTTCGAAACAAAAGAACCTTCTTATTAATCTAGTTATTAATCAACTTAATAATCATAAATTTCTTTAAAATTAAAAAATGAAAACATTGTAAATAACAATAACGAAAATTTAATCAGAAATTCAATCTCTAAGAAAAACAGTATTATATTTGATAAACTAGAAAAGCGAAATACTAATAAAAAAAATACTTCCGGGACTATAAATTCATCATCGGCAATGTAAAATAATGAAAGTAAAAACAACAAAAGGAAACTTTCTTAGGTTCGAAGAGGATTAATAAGATAAAATACATTAAATAATACTATTCTAGCCTTATAAGGGGTTGAAAATATTCTTATGTATGGTAAATTATAAAGAAATAATTAAGATTTATTTGAAGTAATGAAGTCTTTTGAGATCTATTTTTCACATAATAATATTGAGTCGATAATTATCAAACTTTAAAAAAAATATCCAAATATTTATGTAAAAAATAATAAGTAATAATAAATCTATAAATAATTTTCTCAAAAAAAAACTTACGGGCAATAAACTGTGGTATCGTAAAATAATAGAATGAGCAAAATGGATGTTTTATTATAAAAATTAATCAATTAATAAGATAATGATGATGATGATTTAGATTATCTTAATGATTAATATTCAAATAGGTTGAGAAAAAAATCACATACTATGCATAAGTTAGATATGTATAAAACAGATTAATCACAATAAAAAAACAATTTAGACTAATAATTAGCTTAGACTTAATAAATTATTGAATAGGTAGATAAAGAATTTTAGGTAAATTAGAATTTAATTGATTAATAACTTAATATTATACCTTAAAAATTATCTCATACTAATTGTTAAAATATAGGAATAGTTTAAAAAAAGAAATCTTAGTCATTATAATTATAGTTATCAGATATTATATAAAAAATATTAAATAAATGAAATTTATATATATTTTTTTTTAAATTAATGATAATAATAATTTTATGTTAATATATTTTCCCAATATATTTATTTCTATTATTCAATAAAAAATATTGATTTCAAAAATTATTATATTAATTTAATTAATAATGATTACTAATATTTAAATTATTTTAGAAAAATATAAATTTAAGATATAAAAATAAAATAAAAAATAAAAATAGTTTTCTCCTATATTTATATATATATATATATACTATTTTCTTATTATTATTATTTAATATATATTATATATTTTTATTTATATTTTATATTTTTATTATTTTTATATTTTTATATTTATATATTATTAAATATTATATTTAAATGTAATACACATTATTTTTTAATTGCGCATTAATATGTTAAACGCAATTTAATAACATTATATTTATTGATTACTAAATATATTTAAAAAAAAAAATAATCACTTTTTTAATTAAATTTAAAATAAAATTATTATTTTTATGAAATAATAATTATTGTTTTAAAAAATAAATATAAATATCTATATTTTAATTGCTATATATACAAAAGTAAAATAAAAAAAGTAATATGCAAAAGCGTAAATACCGTCCTAAATAAATTGAAACCAAAAATGAGAAAAACATAACATTAAATCTCGAATTATAAAAACTAAAGGCTATATATATGGAAAATATAATAGGAATTCCCCAAGAGCCCACATATTACCGTGCATTTTAAATAAACATATTCCCCGAATAATTAAACATTGATGAATAAAATGAAGAATCATAAAATAAAGCAGATTTTTTCATATGTTTAGGCTTTAATATTCCCCTAGAATATCCTGAAGAAATGCCCAAAATTCAAGTTAAAACTTACAAAGGATTTGATAAATACGACATTTAGCTTTTATAGGAATAATTATTTGAGTTTGCTTTAAAAAATACTGGTAAGGAAATGTTTTTTGATTTAATAGAATTCGCTAAATTTTATATAAGTAATATACATTAAGAATATTTAGATAAAGTTTAAACATACAAAACAAAATAATATATAGAATAATATTTTAAAATAAAAAAATATATATAAATAGGAAAAGATACATAATAAAATGATTTAAATGTAATTATATGAAGAAAAAAGAAAAGAAATATTAGCAGAATAATAATAAAAAGAAGCCGAAATGGCTGAAAATAATAAAAAAGTAATCGAATAGGAAAAAACTTAGTCTATCTTAAGAATGAATGATAATGATGAGCATTGATTAAGATTATAATGGCTTAATAGCAGGGAAGTTTAATCTAAATAATAAAATATTATTAATTAATAATAATAAGAGGAATTTCATTAATAATAATTTTAATATTATTTTAATACAAAAGAGAAAAATTTAATTCGATATTTTGATTAAAATTGCGATGAAAAAGATATTTTTATTGTAAACTTATTAAATATTTTGATTAAAGTATTCAATTTTGAAAAATATGAAATCAATATTATTTAAAATAGTATTAATAGTACTAATTTATTCGTAAAAGAAATGAATAAAGCTCTCCAAAATGAATATTAATAGGCTTTTTAGCATATTTTTTAATAGAAATTGCATAAAGTGTAAAAAAAAGTATAAAATTCAATTTAAAATTTGCCCTAAAATCTCCTTAAAGACTTTATATAGGGTATAGGGGGTGATTTTATAAAATAAAATTAACTTTTTTAATATTATAAAGAACAATTTTAATGTAAAAATTGCATAAATAAAAATAATTAAAACTTTTAATCTTTTGATTAAAAAGAAAACCAAACATTAAAAAAAGACGAAAAATAATAATAATAAAATAATTTAGAACAAATTATTTAAAATTAAGAAAATAATAAAATAATCAATAATGTATTAAATTTTGAATTAGCAAATACTGAGAAAAGTAGATATTTAACAGATTTTGAGGAAATTAAAGTTTTAGGATAAGGAGCTTTTGGCCAAGTAGTAAAAGTTAAAAACAAAGTAAACCAAAAAAAAAAAATATGACAAAATCAATAATAATTATTATATTAAATAACAATAATAAAAAAAAAGTTAGATGGAAGATATTATGCTATAAAAAAAATAAAAATCCGCAAAGAATAAAACATCTAGAAGCTTATGAGAGAAGTAACCTTATTATCCCAATTACATCACAGGTTTTTTTTATAAAATAAAACAAAACAAAAACACCCGAATAAAAAATAAATAAAAAAAGACATGTATTAAGATACTATTAAGCCTGGTTAGAAGAATCCAGTTTAACCGAAGAAACAAACCAATAATAACTCAACAGTAATAGTAAGACTTTTGATGAAAACTTTTAATCTTCTTCTTCTATATATAATACAAATATCAATCCTAATAATAATATAAATATAAACTATAACAATAATAATTCTTCATCCTTTTATGAATTTTCTTCTTTTAAAAATTCTTATGATGACAACAGTATATAAAAATCCCGACTTTAAAATTAAAACTAATAACTCAATAATGCAACTAGACTAATGATATTATTCATTTAAACTGAATACTGTCCTTCTACTCTTGCTTAGAGAATAAAAGAATAATACTTCGCTTCTGACCCTATGGTTGTTTGGTAGTAATTTCGTTAAATTCTTGAAGGAATAAACTATATTCATTAACAAAATATCATCCATAGGGACCTAAAACCTGAAAATATATTCATTGATTCTGTCGGAGATTATAAAATAGGCGATTTCGGGCTTGCAAAATCATAAAAAAACTCAATTTTTACCAAACATCAATACTATATATAAAACCAAGAAAACGAGCTTTTTAACAAACTTATAAATAAGCCCTAATTAACAGCCAAAGAACTCGAAAATATAGATCATACTTTAAAAGTAGGCACTTATTTTTACCGGCCTTCCGAAACTTATATATAGGAAGAACAAGCTGATATATATGCTTTGGGAATTATTTTTTTTGAAATGTGGTGTGAGTTTTCCTCTAAATACGAGCGTTTTAAAGTCCTTTGTACTTTAAGAAATAATCATTCTTTTCCCAAAAAATTCGAACAATGTCATCCTAAATAAGTTAAATTAATTCAATGGATATTATAATTCTCTGCCTAAAAATGTGAGAAAGTCAGCGAAATTCTCCAATCAGACCTCATGCCGCCTAAAATGGAAGATAATTACATCCTAGATGCTTTAAAGACAATAAAAAATCCCGAAGGACCACTTTTTAAGCAAATAGTCGAAGCGATTTTTAAAAGCAGTCATTTATTAAATAACTAAGAATAATAATTATATAATAATCTCCCTTAAAATTTCCAATAATTAAACAATTTCTACACTGCGCATATTTATGATTATTTTTTTCATAAATAAGTTCTTCATTTTCCCTCTCCTTAAACTATATAAGCCCCAAAAGTTCAATTAAGGAATGATTTATCGTTTGAAATTGCAAAAAACCTCACAAACCCTTCTTTTATGATTTAATCGGGAAACATCTGCTATTTAAGATCTAATATAAGAGAAAGCTTCAAAAAAAACCTTAAAAAAGTAGACAATAAATTCCTCAAAAGCCACCTTTTTAAAAAATTCGAAGTCGGCCATGTATATAAATACATAGAAGACTAAAAAATAACCTGCCATTTTAACACTGACTATGATTGTGTATGTTTATAAGAAGACCTAAATATATACACAAGGGCCGAAACAATATTTTTCGCAGTAGAATTGATTGAAAATGCTGGTTTTTTAGTTGATAAAATAAGGGTAAATGATATAAATATACTAAGGAGTTATTTATCTAAATAATTAAAAAAAGAACAAATAAAAAAACTAGAAAATATACTATTTTTAGGAAATATAACTTCCCGTGATGTTAAAAAAAAGATTATAACAGATTTTTAATTACCAGAAAAAGACTTAGAAAAAATTATTACACTTTTAACAATAAAAAATAGTTCTAATGAAGAAATAAGAAATGCACTTTCTCATTATTTCCCGATGTGCTAGGAATATTTATCTTAGCTTTCATATGTAGAAAAAGAATTCAAAAATTAATATGTAAACTCTAAAAATTATTCTAATTAGAATTTCTATAAAGTCCCGGAATTCTAAATAGACTTGTATCTTTAATGTAATGATTTTGGCTTTAAAGATGGGCTCTTTTTTGCAATAGATATCTCGACAGTAAAAAATTAAACATATATGACACCTATTTTTGGAGGAACTTATGATATTAAAACGACTAAATATTCTAATGTATGCGATGTTATAATGGATACGTAATTTAAGTAAATTGTTATTAATAATAATCATTTTAATACAACAAATAATTTAGAAAATAATAATACAGATTATCTTTCAAAATCTGGAAACTCAGCATCGTCATAAAATAAAAATACAAATAATAATAATAATAATAATAATAATAATAATAATAATAATAATAATAATAATAATTATAATAAATTAATGAAAATTAATAAATTTATAAATAAAAAATTATACTAGAAGCTCATCTAAAGGATATGAAGCAAGTTTCTGGTTTTACTTTAATAAATGAAGCTTTAAATTATATAATTTAATAAAAATTTGAAAAAAAATAATAAATTAGTCAATAACTCTTTTTTAAATATGAATGCATAATTTGTAGTGTTGGAACAGGTCTTTTATTTGAAAAACTAAGGTTTCAATAATGTTGTTAAAGCAATAAAGTTAATGTTCTTATGTTTAGTTATAAAAATGAGTAATATTCATAAGAAGAATAATAAAATTATGCTGAACTTAATGACATTCCTCTTGTAGTTACTCTTACAGAAAAAACATTTTAATAAAAGAAAAAGGCATTTGTTAAAATTAAAAAAGAAAAAAGTAAAGAAATGAATATTTAAGAATTTAATTAATTCTTAAATAAAAATTATAAGAATTTAATTAAATAAAATACATTTTATATATGATAAATTATAGATATATATTTTATATAATAATATTAATTTACTATTACTTTTTTATAATTAAATATTACTAAATATATATTTAAAGAAAAATAAAATTATTTTAAACTATAAAAAATGATATATAAATAGAACAAATTTATAGGTTTTTAAGTATATTTTAATATATATATTTATATTTTATTAATAAGATTAAATGTTAAATAATCATCAACATTTAGATTCTACACTTTTTGAGCAATGAATATAATATTATAATGGTTAAAGTTATTAATCTTAATTATATAAATAAAAATGATTTAATTAAAAAAAAAAAATATAGAATAAAAAAATAAATAAAAAATTAAAATGTATAATATAAGTAAAATATAAAAATATTTAATAAAATAGAAGAATATAATAGATAATAATATTTATATATATATATAATTAATATATATATATATATATTTATATATATAATTGTATATATTTTAATTTTACTTTTTTAATTTTTTTTTTCATCATTTTAATCATTTTTTTTATTTTCAATTTTATCTAATAGATTTATAGCATTAGGATTATTTAAAGGATTTAAAAATACACCATTTGTATTTTTTTTTAAATTCTTAATAAAATTTTAATTATCAAATATATTATAACTATTATCTTAATTTATTATTTATAAAAATAAAATATTATATTTATACTTATTAATTATATTTTATTAGCATCTAATAATGATGTCATCTTAGTTTGTTACTATTCAATTTATTTTTATTCATATTAAGTGCGATTATCTTTTATTTTATTTTTCTTTTTATCATGTTAGAATTCTATTTATCTTAATTCTTTTTCATTTTATACTTATTCAATTGCTTATAGATAATTATAAAAATATTTTTTAAAAAAAATATATTTATTTGTAAAAAATATAGAATATATATATATATATATATATATATATATATATATATATAAATATATAGATATATAATTTTTCATATTTATTTATAATATTTATTTATTTAAATTTATTTACCTTATTATAAAGGAATTTTTGGAAATTTAATTTCTTTATTTTTAAAATAAAATTAAGGAACTTTGTAAGTATTTTTATCATCATTCCATTCACATTAACTCTTTTTTATATATTAATATTAATTATTTAATTTTAAATTAAAATATTTTATTAAATTTTAAATTTAAATAATAGTAAACCTTTATTATATCGAATTCTTCTTTTTTTAATGCTACATCTATAATTGCTTGTAAAAGGTTATTTTCTTTTTCTAAAATCCTAATAGTTCCCAAAAGTTCTTCTTTTTCTTCCAACCCTTCCTTTTCAATATCTTTAATTTCGTTTATTGATTATTTGTATTTATTTTTTAATTTTTTAATTATTTTTCTTTAAGCTTCCACTTCTTCTTATAAAGATTAATAATTTTATTCGGCTAACAAAATTTCTTCTTCTTTTTTTTTATTACTAAGTATTAATTTTTCATGTTCTTTTTATTATTTCTTTAGTTTTTTTCTCATTTCTAAATATTCTTTCCTTGCTTTATCATCATTTTCGCCTTTATTTTAATTCCCAACACCCCCAACTAATTTTTACTATTACAAAGACTCTAATAATTCCTACATTTGCCTTCTTTATTCTTTTTCTTTCTCAACTTAAAGTTCCCTTTCTTTTAATTCATATTCCATTCTTTATTTATCAATATTCAATGCATCAAATCCTTATTTTAATTTCTAAATTTCTCCTTCACCTTCTCCTCCTCCTCCATTATTTTAATTTTAACCCTCCAATATTTTTTTTAATCTTTAAATTTCTTCTGCAAATTCCCTAAGCATAGTATCTTTAGGATCTTCATTAATTTTAGGTTTATTTTTTATGCATTTAGCCCTCGAAGCATACCTTAAAGTACCCAAAGTTTCATCATAATTATAATCTGCAGGAGAAACTGCCGCTATCATAATAGTCTTGGTATTTCCTCCCAAAGAATCTTACAATAAACGAGTTAATTTAGAATCTCTATATGGAATATGTGAATGTTTCCCATCTACTAATGCAGAAATAACATTCCCTAAAGCACTTAAAGATAGATTTATTTTATTAGCTTCCTTTAATCTTTCACCTGATGTTTAAGTTTTACTTTGACGTTCGCTTCCAGCAAGATCAACTAAATTAAATTTCCCAGCTCGAATTTTATATTCTCCTTTTTCATTTTCTTCACTAATTTCTACATATATAGTAAATAAAGAATGTGATCTTGAAGAATCTTTATTCATAGCAGTATATATATATATATATATATATATATATATATATATATATATATATATATATATATTAAATATAATAAATACCTGTAGATCTATTTTTATTTCCTGTATTCATCAAATTTTCCATATCCTATACTGATTTTACCACAACTTTATTTAAATCTTTTACAAAAATTCCTTATTCTGGTGATTCTTTTAATTCATACCTTGCCTTAACATCTTTACTTAATAAATCGTGTATTTCTTCATTATAAATTTCAATAAAAGAACATCTAACTAAAAACTCTTTTTTATTTTCGCTCTGTATAATATTCATAATATGACTAAAAGACCTAGGAATTATGCCTTTCATAATCTCACTTTAAGGATCTCCCATCATTGTGAACGTTTTACCACATCCGGTTTGTCCATATGCGAATATTGTCCCATTATATCCTTCGAAAATACTTTCTACTAACTAAAATGCACTTTATTCATATATATATTATTAAGTGCAGTCCGAAGAAAACAAATTGTCGAAAGTAAATGTTTTAAAATTGTCTTATTCGTTAATTTTTGTTAAAGAAATCTAGTTTGTTTACATGTCGATGTCTATACATTTTTGGCATTGTTAACTTTTTTCTTTTGTGTTCATAGGACGACATCTTACCATTACTTTTACACATTCACTGCTTGATGACTATTTTTTTTTTATTTTTATTAATTAACTTATAAAATTATATATATATATATATATATATATATATATATATATGTATTTGTATATATTTATTTGTTTAATTTTTTTTAATTTCTTATATTTTATATTGAATAAACTTTAATTTTTTATATTTATTTTTATTTTAACGTTTTGTTTTAGCAATATACTTTAAATATTTTTTTTTTTTTTTTTCTTTACAATATTCTTTTCTTATATCATCAATAAAATAAAAATATAATTTTTAATTTTATATAAAATGATAAGCATTTGCTTAAAAATACATTTTTAAAAAATTATTTTTCTCTTAATTCGTTTAAAAATAATTATTACAATTTAAAAATTAAAATAAATAAATATATATATAATTCGATATTGAAAAAATATAAATGAAAACAAACCGAAACCATTAAAAACAAATATTTAAAAAAGTAAAATAGAGAAAACAAAAATTAACATAAAAAAGTTAAAATTCAAAATTAATATAAACAAACTGTAATAAATATTATGTTTATTTAATTTTTATTTAAAATATATATTTCATTTTTATTAATTTATTAAATGTTTTTTTCTAATCACAAATCTACCCATGATTTTTAAGCATCAGGTGTAAAAGTATTAATCCAACCATACCAAACATATATATTAGGGTGAGAATCAACAGTAAATTTGACTTTCTTATCTATTAAAATAAAAGATTAATTAAAAATGACAAAAAATAAAATAAAAAATTATTTATAAATATTATGCCCCTTAATTCTGAAAATATATTTGCATCAATTTTGTTAGGTTTTTCCTTTCCAGATAAAAAATTATGACTTGTTAAATGATTTTCAATATTATGTAATTCAGTTACTGTAAAAACCATATTTATATTATAATATATTAGTTATATATATTTTAATTTATATTATATCTTTATTATTATTTTCTTAAAATAAATATTATTATAATATAAATTATATAATATATATATTTAACTATATAAATCTTTTTTTTTTATTATTATCAAAATTAATTATTTTTTATATGTATAAATTAAATAATTTAACTTTATAAATATATAAAAATTATATTTATAATATTAATAATAATATTAAAATTATAATTATTATATTATATTATAATTTTATATATAAATAATTTTAAAAAATATATAATATTAATAATTTTAAAAAATATATATTTTTATGTTTAATATAAAATTTTTTTACAAAGAATTTTAAATTTATTTATATAGAATAAAAAAGAAAAAGAAAATAAAATATAAAATTATTTTATAATTTCACTTTATTTTTTTAAAAAATACGCATAATAACACAAAAAAATTAAATTTAAAAAAAAAATAATCATTAAATTGTAATAGTTATTATTAATAAAAATAATTTTTTTTTATAAATAAATAAAATAAAAATAATAAAATATAACTAAAAAATGAGATTAACAAGAAGCTAATCAAAAAAAGAAGAAAGTACTTCAGTTATTTCTAAATAAGAAGAAAAACAATTATATTAACCGAAAAAACAAATTTAAAAGGAAAACAAAGTACCAAAATAATAAAAGAATTCTTAATAAAACAAAAAAACTTTAAAAAGTACTTAAAAATAATAAGAAGATAAAACTTTGTAAGAATAAAAAACTACAGAAAATTTATAAATCTAAGAAGAAGTTTCTTAAAAATAATAAGAATAAATATAATAATAAGACTAAGTATAATTAAAACTATAAGAATAAGAATAATAAGAATAAACAATATAAGAATAAGTATAATAGGATGAGTAAAAAAATGAATAAAATAATTAATTAAATTAACAAATGGAAGAATAATCAACTTAAATTTAGACATCTAATTCAAAAAACGAATAATTAAATATTTAATAAGAATAAGAGGATGCAAAAGTATAACCTAATATTGCCTTATTCGAATAAATAAACAATTAAGACAAATAATAAGAAATATAATAAAATTGAATTATATATTAATTTAAATTTATCTTTCTTATTAATTTTATATTTTTGTAATATTTTTTATTTTTTACAATATTTACTTTTTTTGTTTTTTTTTGTTTTTATTAAAAAAGTATAAATTTTAATAATAAAATTATAAATTTAATTTTAAATATGATTTATTATTTAAAAAAATGTATTTATTTCATCTCTCCCCATTGTCATATAATCAGTGTAGTTTTTTTTTTTTAGAAGCCAAACCATTTACTTTTTTAAAACATATTATTTTTTAAAATATTAAGTTTCTCTTATTTTTATCTTCTTAATTAATTAATATTAATTTTAACACTTCTTGAATATTTAGCAATAACATTTTCCAAATTATACTCAGGAAAATAATATTAAAACTTCTAACCTTTTTCAAAGTCATTTAAAACATCATAAGTCTATTTACTTTATATTTTTAAATTATTATTATTAAAAATGTTTTTAGCATAACAATTACTATCATTATTATACGAATTATTTTATTCCGAATTGTTTTTTTTTTAGTAAAACCTTAATAATAATTAAATTTTTTAATTTTATTTAAATTTTATTTATCTTCACTTTCCATTTCATGAATATTCAAATCATCTACATTTATATTATTAATTTCACTCTAATCTGTATTTCTGCGAATGCGATTCTCCTATATATCATATTCTATATTACTTTAAACAATTTCAAGTATTTATTCTACATCTTATTATAAAGGATTATACTCTATTATATATTAAATTATACTTTCTTTTATATCTTTTCTTTATTTTTTTTAATTCTTTAATTTCATAGACTTTCTTATATATTTCTCATCTCTTTATTAATAATCTTCCTTATTATATTTATATAATATTTTCCTTCTCTAAAAAATAGGATTTACAAAAAAACAATTAAGTAATATATGTCTATAGCTTTTACATAATTGACATTTATGTCCGAGGTTTTTATAATTTTGATACAGAGTAATTTTTTCTTTCATCATCATATATTTTTCATAATCCTTGGAATAGTTTTTTATTATCTAAAGAAAATTAGGCATTGAAATATAAGCAGTAGTTACTATTTCTTTACTTTTATATTATAAATAGCTCTATTTTTAACTAAAAAATTGTATTTCATCAAAAATACTTCCTTTTTCATTAATCTCAAATACTTCTCCACCTTTAAATATAACTTTCACATTTCTATAATTTATAAAATAAATAATTATATATATATATATATATATATATATATATATATATATATATAATAAAAAAATACCCTCTAACTAGAAAATACAAAAAATCAAATTACTCGCCAATATCAATAATAACTTCATCCCCAAGAAATCTCTTTTCTTCCATTTTATACGCCAATTATTAAAGAAATTCTTAAGAAAAATTTAAATAAAACAGTTTATTTTAATTCAACAATTTTAAATGAATTTCGGCCAAAATATCATTTTTGAGTTACCCTTTTAATTCATTATGAAAAATATCGCTCCCTTCATTATATTTTAAATCTTCTTAATGTAAATAATCGAAATATTTTTTCACTTAGACTTACTTTTCGCTTGAAATTCCTCTTTTATTCATATAAGAAATCAGAGTATTCATTTTAGTTTTCAAAGCCTATTTTTCTTTTGTAAATTCCTAAACAATAGATCCGATAGAATTCAAAGAATAAGCGAAAACTCCACAACTGAAAAGCGTAATAATAATAACAGTTATCTTTTCATATAATGTTTAAGGTGTAAAATCTCCATATCCAACAGTAATCATAGTCACAACAGCCCAATAAATAGAAGTTATATATTATTCGAAAATCGTAGCATTCTGTAATTCATATTTAATTACCCAACTTTTATTAGAAGCCTATTAAATACCAACAAAGAAATAAATGCAAGCGCAAAAATGTGATATAAATATAATTGTAAAAACCAACTTTAATAATTACAATATTGCGTTCTTTTTTTAAGAAAAGTTAAACAATTCTTCAAAATTAGCACTAATTTAAATAAATCGATTAGTCCTTAAAATCAATATACTTTTTAAATAAGGAGTTTGTTGATACAAAGATATTATAAATGGAATTAAAACAATTATATCAGTTAGAAAATATTATTTATAATAATTTTATAAAATCCGGCTTTTATCCATTACTAATTAACCTTTGATGTAAAATCCTGTATTACATTTAATAAAAACGTACAATAACAAAGAACTATTTTAAATATATCATTATTATAAAAAATATAAATAAATAAATAAAAGTATTTATATATATATATATATATATATACATATATATATATATATATATATATAAATATATATTTTTATATATAATACCCATCCAGGTAAATCGCTTATAAAAAATGAAAATGCATCATTATTCTTTTATGTTTAACTTTACAGAAAAGCTTATTCGAATGGTGCGTAAAAAATATTAATTAATAATAAGCAGAATATAGAAGCATCCCATATTAGTTTAAATGCAGAAATTGGTTTAATAGTAGTTTTATCCTATAACATTAACTAAAAAAATCCTTTAATATTTTTAATTATACTATTCTATTTTTGTTCTTAATTCATATAAAAATTTTCATTAACAATACATTTGTCTTATATAATTTAAAAATATTTTAAATTAAAATTTTTCAATCTCCATTTACTTGAATTAATTTTCAAATCCATTGTAAATTTTCGAACTAAATATAATATTTTCAATGCTTTTTTCTTCCAGACTCCTTAAAATCCTTTATTTTATCTGTTTTCAATTAATTTTTGACTTTCTAATTCTTCTTTCTTTTTATCTAATATTATTATTTCACTATTATATGGATTTTTGTTGGACGTGGAAAAGTTAGATTAATAATTAAACGATTATCTTCTTTATCTTTTATTATTTAGTGTATCTTCATTATATAATATTTCTTAATCGTTATTTTAATACTTTTATACGAAATTGTCTAAGTTTATTTTTGATTAAAATAAAATTTTTCGTTAATTATCTCCTTTTCTTAAGGAAAATAAAGAACTATTATTATAAATTACTTATGTGTTATTATTTTTCATATTTAAGAAATTTAATTATTATAAAAAATACTTTTTATTTTAATTTCAATTAAAATATTTTTTCCAACAAAAAAATAAAAATTGTATTGAATTTGTATATTAAGATAAAGTTTTCTATATTTTATTATTTTCTATATAAATTATTTATATTTAAAATGAGATTATTATATATATTTTTTATTTAAACTAAGCAATTTATTGTTATTTTTTTAATTTAGTATAAATTTTGATTAGTATAAAGTTTAATATTATAAATAATATATTAATTATTTAATTAATTGTTTACAAATTATGATTATTTATTTTATAATTTTTTTTGTTTTAAAGAATTCCATTTTTTTTATTTTTGAAAACTTAAATTTCATTTAAATAAATTTAGTATGTATTTTTGTTTAATTTATATTAAACATTTAAATAGTACATAAACTAATATTGGATGATTAATTTATTATCATTCTTTTTTCAAAGATATATGATAGCATTTACCTTTAAAAAAATATATTTTAATTTATTGATATTAAAGATTAAGATTATCAAATTCGAAAAGTAAATAAATTGAAATATATAGAATAAGAAGGTTATTTTAAAATTAAATATTTACTCTTTTTAAAAGATTAACAATAAATATTATAAAAAATAATAATAAATAAATAGCTTACAGTCATTAAAAAAAAATATGTAAAAATAAATTAAAATTTCAATATATATAAATACTAATCAAATATGATTTTGTATAATTTAAACTAGTGTTCTAAAAAAATAAAAATTAAGATAATTAAAAATTTACTTTAAAATAAAATCCAAAAAATATTAAATTTATTCTTAAAAATACAAAAAAAGTAACTAAAAAATTATTAAGTATAAATAAATGTAATATTATCAAAGAATATTAAAATTTTTGTGATTCTCAAAAATTATAAAACAAAAAAAACCAAAAAAACTAAATTGATAGGAAAATATTTAATTTAAAAAAATAAATTATTTTAATTGTGTAAAGTAATATTTATTATTGTATGCTTAGGAGTTAATAATAAACTTAAGATAAATATACTATAATATAAATATTAAAATTAGACACTCATTAATCTTACTTTAAAAGAAATATGGTTTTGTTAATATTTTCTTTACAAATATTATACGAAATATAAGAATTATAAGGACAAATAAAATATATGTAATATATTAAAATATGGAATAAAATCATTTGTTTCGTAATGATAATTAACGAACTTTGTGGATAATCATTAGTTACTTAATTTTATGATTTAAAATACTTAGAATAAAAAAAGGATTAGAAAATAAGTAAATAATTAAAATTTTATTTTTTTAAAAAACATCTAATTAAATATTTTGATTTACAATAATAATTATTATTTTCGATTTGATAAAGATTTAAAATTATTAAAAAAAATTTAATATATAATCTTGCCTAAGAATTACGGTTTTTATCATACTTAAGAATAGTTCATTCCAGACACAATATATTGCTTCTGAAATTTGAATTTTATTTTATTTTAGAATTAATAAAATATGTATATTAACTTCTTGGTCTTATAAAAAATTATTCGAAATCCGTTGAAATTGATCTCTTGAGCATGATTTATTTCAGAAAAATATTAAAGGAACTCCTTTATGGATAATTTTTAAACTATTATATTATTAAATATAAATGAGTAGATATAACTAGAAGCTATTTATTTGCTACTTAAAGAAGAGTTTTTTTTTAAAAAAAAATATTGGTAAATAAATTTATATAATCAAATAATTATAGTTTATTTTAGGTTTTTTTTGTTTTAAATGTAATAATATTCAGAATAATTAATATCTCCTAAAGAAATATACTTATTTTTTATTAATTTATGTATAAATTAATTTTTATTTATTTTTAAAATATTATTAATAATTATAATATTTAATTTATAGTATTTTGGTTTTTATTTATTTTAATTAATAATTATTATTATACTTTATAATAAAAACAATAAATATGATTAATAATTAATATTATTTAAATAAAAATTATATTTTAAAAGGAAATAAGCTATTTTACTTGACATAAAAAAGTCAATTTAATTCAACTCAAAATTTTTTATAAAATTCATATAATGAAAACGAATAATCAAATAATTAATAAAAGTAAAATATTATAAGATCTGCTAGTTTTTTTTAAACAAATAATAAAAATATTTATCATTAGATTTAGAAATATAAACAAAATGAGAGCCTGTATAATATTTAAAAATCCAAAAAAATTAAAGTCTTTATCTTTTAATAAAGTAAGTATATAGTAGTTAAATACAAAGGTTGATGCTATAAGCTTAAATAATTTAAATTAAAATTAGATTTAATAAGACAATAATAATTTTAATTATTAAAAAAGTTAAGGTAAAATAGCTGAAATTCAATTAAAAAAATGTTTTTTGAGTTTATATAATTTAAATTTGGAAGAAACTGATACTGAAAAATTGATAAAGTTAAAATAGTAAATATATTTAAAAAGCTAATAATGCAAAAAACAATTTTCCAAATCTTTTTATAATTAATAAAATTCAAATAAAAATTAATAAAAAACAATATAAGATTAAGATATTAAAAATATATAAATATAATAACAAATAAATTAAATAAAAAGCGATTAATAAAAATTTCTTGTTGTAAAAATAAATAAATAACCAAATTTTTTTAATTAAGAAAAAATTTAATTTACAAAACAAGGCTTATAAAATAATAATATAAAAATTTAATAAAATAAATAAATTACATTTCAAAGAAATACTATAAAATAATATTATTACAAACACAAAAGCCCAAATTAAATTAATAAAATTTAATTTAAATATAACAACATTATTTCGGTAAATATAGATAATAATTAGAAAAATATTGACAATAACTAAATTAAATTAACTCAAGAAGTAAATGAATTAAACATTTAACAAAGTAAAAGCTTATAAAATATATTAGAAATAAATAATACAATAAATTAATAATTAAAAGAATAATAATAACCAATAAATTAAATAGAAATTAATTAAAATATAAAAAAAGATGAATATTTAACTCAGAATTAGAATGAGAAAAATTATAACAATAAACTAATTTATAATTATAAACAAGAAACTTTGCAATAAGCATAAACTTAATCATATACTTCTGGATAAAAAAAATAAGAAATAATATAAATAGATAAAAAAAATATATTCAATTAATAAATAAAAAAGCCTAAATGTATCCAAAAAATAAAAAGAACAAAATCTGAAAAATACATATAAGACTTAAAAAAATAATTCTAATTCTAAAGTTTACAAAATTTTTCCCATTAAGAAAATACTCAAAGTATGGATTCTAATATATAAAATAAATGTAAAAGTTCTTTAAAAAAAATTGATTTTAAATCTAAAAATAAACTCTAAAAATGCATTTCTTCAAATGCAGCTGTTTTACCTTCTATATCAATTTTAAGTATAAATTAAATTCCAAACAAATTAGAACTTTAAAAATAAATAAAATCATAAAAAACAATATCTTATGACAAAATAAAATCTTAATAAAGTAGTAGAAGTCTAAGTTAAGTTTAAATATTAATCTCAAATAATGAAAAAGATACTATAAAAATAAAAACTGAAAACGAAAAATAATAATAAATAAAAGAAAACGTTCAAAAAATAGATAATTTTTAATAAAATATAAACTAAACTAAAATTATTTTTTCTAGTTTAAAAAAAAAATATCAAAAAATAAATTAATTAATTCTAATAAAAGCAGTTTGTAATAAAGGTAATATATTGATTAATTTAAAAAGGAATAGTTTCCTTTTTAAAAAAAGTTAAAAAGTATTATTAATTAATTAAAATTGAAAATAACTTAAAATAAACAAATAAAAAAACAATAAGAAAAACTTTTTTTAAAAAAACTTAATTTACAAAAGATTTAATCCTTAATAAAAAAATAATCCCTTTTTTTCCAAATAAATATCTCCAATTAAAAGTTCAAATAGTCCAAATAAAAATCACCATAAATAAACTAAAAAAACAAATAGCAATTTTCTTCACTTCCGGTATATTATTAAACTAAAAATATAATCAAAAACAAAGAAAAAAGATTAAACCTCATCCCATCTATATCATAATTTGATATTTCTTAATCTCAAGAAAATTTATTAGACTTAGACCAAAACTAAAAATTATAAAAAAGCATATTTACGCTATTAAATATTGCTTCAAAATCATATTATGAAATACTTTCAAAAAATCTAATAAAATAAAATAAAGGTAATAAAATAAAACCTTAAAATAATACAAAAACAAAATTTTAATAAAAAAATGCAAAAAGTACAAATCAAATAAACATGATTCTAAACTAATATAAATATACTTAAAATATGCCTTTTTCAGAAAAAAGAGGATTATAGGAGAAATAATCGAAAAAATAAAAAGTTTACAAAAAGGAAATGAAATATA